GTTCTTTCGCAAGCGCGTGAATTTCAAATGCAAGACTCAAACAAATAAATGGCTTGTTAACAGCGCACAAACAATCACATGGCTCCGAATTTGGGCTATGAGTATACAATATTACTCCAAACTATGATATGTAAAAAGTCCCCAAAACTTATGTGTCTGAATACCCGTTCCGGATTTGTTGGTTTCTAGACCAACTACCGAACCAACTGGGTTGGTTCGGAGCATAAATTTCGGAGAGTTCACATAAGTTTTGGACCTTTTTGATTTGGACGATTAAAACGCTTAAAAATCTATCATATAGTGAAGAGAGCGAATCAGACCATTGCCTCTTCTCTTTTTTTGAGCCAAAAATGGTGTAAATCTATGTGTTGATAGATATCGCGCTCCAATCACTTGCGGTATCCTTTGAGATATGTGGCGAAAAATGCATCGCAGAATTGTTGAGGCTACAGATTTGGTTGGCCCAGGAGATTTTCGACATTCCCACCATCAAAATGGTACTATACCCAATGGCAGAGCCTTTAATCGACTCGAAATGTTTTCTTTTTGCTTTTTTGTTATATTACTTACCTCAAAATGCGCTTTTTTCGCTTTTTTGTTGTTATTTTGGTTGAATAAGGGTTTCGCTACTGATTTGTACGTCGAGAGGGACTTCGTAAATTTTCGCGAAGTCATGGGGGACTTCGTTTCCAAAAAACCTCCAAACCAACGCGTGCCGGGCCCTGTCCGTGACTCTACCAAAAATCAAATTTCCAAAAAAAAATTTTTTTAAGCCTCAAAGTAGCAGATCGGAAGGATATAAAAACAATAAGGTCTGATCAGAATTTTTCTATTTGTATCGTACCTACTCCTCGACTAGAGAATAAAATTTTTGATTTTGGAATAAACCTCCTGAAAACTAGCCAAACTTTGTGAGATAGAAGTAACGGGTTAAGGACCTTGGCATTGAAAATATAAATTGAAAGTCGTCCCATCAGGAGAAGGAAAAGTTGCCTCAAAAGCATGTTTAAACGCTTTCAAGTCTTCATTACGAGGATTTATGGTCGTCTGTAAAGCCGACAAGGGTTTCAGGAGAACCTTTCTGCTTTGAAAGTAATTAGGAACCTGTTAAAGAAATCTGAATACTCCTTTATATTCTGCGTCACATGTAATTTCAGCCTCATGCGGCATATCACATTCATGATTCTATTTTATCACTTGTGAACCGCAATCTTATCTTGAAATGGATAGCGAACAAAAACATCACTGTTTTGACCTTCTAAGTCGCTTTTTCGACTGTTACTTTGGCAGGAAATTTCACAAGCAGAATTACACAAGTCCGCTTGGCTTTGTCTCTACTCGAAGCGTTTTTTTGCATGCATTTGATAGCTTGTAGATACTTGAAATGTCTATTACGTAAGTGCTAAGCATACTATAATATCTGTTGTTATCTGTGCATTTTCCTATCTACAGCACAGCTATGCCGCATTGCCCATTTCGTGTATGAACACGTATAGAGTGCTGTATGGCATGGCTTATATTAACTTGTGAAAACTTGTTAATATTTTAGAGAAGCGTTGATGACAAACTTGTAAACTATACGCTGTATCGCATAGAGGCTTCAGACCAAAAGTTCTTGTCAGCAGTAATAGTATACAAGGCGTCTAATTGCCCGAATATATTGGTTTGCCAGAAGGGGAAAGTACCACGCTACTGAAATCTCCGTCGTAGGCATCACTCCCACCCCACCCCCTATGGGTGAGGTTTGATGCTCCCAGCGAAGGTTACAGTATAGGGGCCTGCAGGATCGCGAGAGTCGGACGTGCGTACGGCCATTGCGCCGCGCACGTCAGAACTGCGTGCGACGGCCCAGGTAAGTACCAGACTTATCCTGTTGAACAGGTTCATTCGGTTCACCACCTTTGCTGTTGGACAGTGTAGTGATTTGACCTATGAACGGAACGAACGGCTGAAGTGGATAAGTCTGGCACTTGCCTTAGTGACATCGGACGTGCGCGGCGCAATGGCCGTACGCACGTCCGACTCTCGCGATCCTGCAGGCCCCTATATCGTGTAAAACCTTCTCGAGCTCGAGGGAATATGTATCCGTGATAAAACCTGTAAGACATCGTTGAAGGTGGAATGATTTGGAAGTATCCGAATGTAAGGTACTTCTTCAATGTAATAAAAGGATAAATGATTCGACGTTTTTGATACCTATTGAGGGCATGCACCGAACGCACTGTTCATTGTCGAAGAAGCCATCGAATGCGTGCGACCTTACTACAGTGACTTGCGGGGTTCAGCCGATTACCAAGTCAGTGTCTTTATCCTGTCATATCTCTCTGGTACCGATTTACCTTCCCTAGGTGTTAGTGGGCTTGGTTAGTCTAGGGGCTTGAACTAACCTTAGTATGACCTGGTCATAGCGGCGCCTCATACAACCACGCCAGTCGTCCATTCTTTTATATAATTATGCTATTATGCTATATCTTGTGTTGACCATAGACCAATTAGTCTGCACTATAAACAGATTTGAACTAGTACTTTTCTATTTGAGGAGATAGGGAAATCTGTTACATTCTGTGCACCAAATGTTGCGGTCACGGCAAATTTGTAACGTCGTATTTGGATTTAAGAATTATTATCAGATTAGTTCGTGATGATCGGTTCTATTAGTACAATTGTCCCAATAAAATGTTCACACAGGTTAACACTTCTTCCCTTATGCCTTTCGCCACATTTAGATACCAGTAGTGCTGATTTTAACTAAATCCACAATTTATTGAACAAGCGAGTGCTCTTGGTTGTGGGATTACGCAGGGGAAAAGCATCCCATTTTGAGAAGCGAATGTTGCCCTGAATAAGATACAATTGAGCTAGAAATCATGTGACCAACTTAACTGGGTCGTCAAATCATCAACATTGCACATTATTGTAATCTTTTGCTCTTAGGTATTCCTTGAATCAGTAGTCAAAAACTGATCTCACCATCACTGCTTTGCAAGAGTGTACAAAGTTATCCACTGGACTCAACGCTCTCAAAACATCAGCCAAAAGCTTTCAGCGGTTTATGAAGTTGCTGATTTGCAAGGATGCAAGGATATTTTAGAAGTTCCCACCGTAATCCTACAGTAACCCGAAGGCGACTGGCATTCGCTATATACACAAATCTAAGTTGAAGCCAGCTCTACTAGCAAAAGACATTATTACTGGATATTAGTATTATATTGTGGAGTTATTTTGGAATGCTGTAATCACGACATAGAATTTTTATCTTCTTGAAATTAATCTCTAAATTCAAATTTAACTTCATTAAATGTACATGACAAGTACACCGTAAGACCTACTTATTTTTTGAGCAGTCAAAACATGTTTAAAGTTTTGACGCAGGACCTATTATTGGGCTGGAGAAAAATATGTGTTTTACAAAGTTCCTGTTTGACGAGCTAGGATTTGATCAAGAATCATGAATGCCTACAAACCTTTGGCAACTCAGCGTATAATTTACCTAACATCACAAAGAGCAAAGTATGGAGAGGAGAACAAAAAGTGCTTTGAATTCCCATTGGCAAATCATAACTAATTGAGTTTGAGTTTTATTCTGGTAATTAACGTTTTGCAACCGCAAGCCAGTAGTATATGTGAGGGCTTGAACAAAGAACGTCTGGGAAAGAAAAAGATAGAAAAACAAATTTTCAGCCTTCTTGAGCCATAATAGGCCTTGAGGTTCCGACTCATAAAATTTTCCATTTTTGCGCACCGAACGGCAGAACGTAATGCGTTTCTCAGTAGAATTTTGAAGCCATAGAATTGCCAGACTATTCATATTGTGGCTCGATCCCTCAGTTTAGACAATTTCAACAATTGCAAAAAAATTGCAATATACAGAGAAGTTCTGTCACATACAGTAACTGTTTTTTTACAGTAATTTGCATTCTTTTTTGATTTTCAAATCTTTTATAGCCTAGTAGATTTCAAGCCAGCCCTAGTTCCTTCATTTCTTACAAGCTTCCAACCCTGATTCCCATCATTTCAAAACCTTTTTTCTATTTTCTCAATTTGTTGTTTGCTATTATTCTAACCTGGTGTTTTTTTTTATTTTCAAGGTGTGCAGAACATTCAAAAATTCATGATGTAGAAGTTCAATAAAAAAATTGGGAGATTCATGACAAAAGCTTAAGTAAAAAATTAATTTTATCTTTGACGAATTTAAGTTTATTTTATCTTCTAAATGACATCGCTCTACTTTTGTTTCGCTTGCAATAATAATTTTGCTCATAAAACTTACATGTTCAGTGAAAACATAATGTTTTCTGCCAATTTTGTGTGCTTTTCTGTTATTTCAATGTCTGGACTGAATACAATAAAATGTCTGCTTTGCTCGGCTGTTTAGACTTCTTTAGACCAACACAGAAGACGAGAAGCCTTTCTAATTATTGTGGAGAGCATAAAAGGAGCTTTCGAATATGCTGTTTCAAAGAATTTGAAATTTCCTCTTCTCAAGATTGTAACAGATAGACCCTTTTACTCCAATGAAATATCACTAGAGCCCTCTGCAGGAGATCGTTCTCTGCACCCTCTCTCCGCTTTCCTCTAGCACGCAAGCGGGTTCGGAGCAGTTTTCTATGATTAATAAGGCATTATTTTTGTAACTTACAAATTTTGTAAGAATGAAGTAAGGAGATTCTATTAACATCTCAAAATTAACTGCTCAAGAGTCATGTACAAGACAGCATAAACTAATCAACTTTATGTGGGATGAACAAGGTGAGTAAGTGCAGGTCCTGGGACGATTACCCTTCAGCACACACCTTTGCAGCTACCGTAACCGTAAGACGCTTGCATTTTGCATTTTTGCTTTGAAATCCTAATTTCTTTTTTCGGAAACCAAGGTTGTTGCTGCTTCAATCAGATTGTTGGTTGTTTTGCTTGCATAATTAAGCTGTTGAAATGTGCTCACTCCCATGTAAATCCGCTCTGGTATTATGTCAGATTCATAAGTCATCTACTATTTGTAGATGTCTCTTACAGAGATGAAGTTATGAAAGAGGTTCTCGTGATCATAGGCATAGTTAGCCAAGTTTCTGGGCAGCTTATCCCGGAGCCCACTAGACCAATAGATCTATGGAATCCCTTTGGACCCACGTCTACCCCTCGTCCAAGAAACCAGGTAAGTGTAACTATAACATAATTCTTCTATCTTTAGATTTGCACTCTAATCTCATTTTTCGGCTTTTTATCAACTATCTGTGATGCTATCATCACAATCTCCAGAAAGTGCTTTTTCTCACTACATAATTCAGCTATAATTTGATTCAAAAATCACTTTTCTTTTGTTTAGAAATGCCTTGTACGTGAACTCGTATTTTCGCTCCTTACGTTGTGTTTTCAATTTCTACTATCTGGAGCAAATATAAGGAACCAATTTTTCGTTCTGAACTAGTGCTCAACCTTGCCATAACACTATATTGTAATAAGCATGACGTCACTAGCATATTATATTGTGAAGCAAGAAAAAAATCATTATACTGTGAAGCAGGAAAAAAAATCATATCTTTCAGATCAAAAGAACTCCAAGATTTTCTGCCTATTGCTTGCCTCTATCGAACATGTTCTTCATGCTTAGACCAATCGCTTCAGGGTCTATCGCATAATGAAGTGGCAGTAAGATTATCAATCGGAGATCTGATTGGAAAGAAAATATTGCTTCGTGACTTGCCATGGACACCCACTCAAGATCCCTCTGAGCAATTACCTCCTCAGCGCCTACATTTCGATCCAAATCCATTGCCGCCAAGAAATAATGTGACAATCTACACTTTTCTTGGCGTACCATATGCGGAAGCACCCGTAGCACAGCGACGTTTAAAGGTATGTTCAAACGTATTTAGTAGAAAATGTCCTTATACTGTGATTCTGGAGCTTTATCTAGAGTCAGTGTCAAAAGGACGATATAATCGTGTCAGTTCATCTGCTTGGATACCGAATGTATTCTAGCATTGAACTGATCCAACAGTTAGTCATTTTTTCAAGTATACTTACTGGCCCACTTATTTCAGCCTCCACAGCTTATTCGTGAATTGCCTCTGCAGCCATATTTGGCCTTCCAATATGGAGCCACATGTGCACAAGATGTTGAACATCGTCCACAGATTTTTGTAAACGATCCTTATCCCTTCATCGTCAATGAAGACTGCTTGTACCTGAATATATTTTCACCAGATGTGAGTTCATCTTTTCTTTCCATAATTTTTCTTGGTGTTTTTTCTTTGTCGTGGCACTGTGTTTTCATTGTTGAACTACAGTAGAAAGTTATGCCACATTTTATCAGTACCTGAAGTTTTTGATTTTGCCATGTTCTCAACATCTTGTTTAGGTATCCAAAGTTTCTGGCATGTCCTACCCTGTTCTTGTTTTCTTCCATGGTGGTAACTTCCAAACTGGATCCGCCAACGACTGGCCAGCTCATGGTTTGGCATCGCGTGGTATTGTGGTTGTGACTGTAAACTATCGTCTTGGTGCCTTAGGTGAGTGTTTGTTAGTTCGTCAAGTCTTCGTTTTGCTAGACCCGTTCCTGTTGGATAGGGTCACAAAAATGGGGACAAAAGCATAGAGCACATCTTACCCCCGCAGTATTCGTTGATATATGTGGTCATTTAATGTGCTGACACATTCTCAATACGTCTCTCGATCTGCATAATTGTTATAGTGAGTTTAAGGCTTTATGAGTCTTGGTGACTCTACGACCGGAAACTTTGGTCTGATGGACCAGCGACTTGCACTACAGTTCGTACGTGATCATATCTCATCATTTGGTGGCGATCCACAAGCAGTTACAGTGGCGGGACATGATGCGGGGGCAGTTTCAGTGGGGATGCACATGTTGTCCCCACTTTCAAAAAGTTGGTTATCCATAATTTTGCTTTTTTGATTATCCCCGGTCAGGCTAGCTCTTTGCGAGTCCTTGTTTAGGCCTTTTTCGATCTGCAGCGATGATGTCCGGTTCTGAAGTCTCATATCACTCTTACATCGGCAAACCCGCGTTAGCCTTCAACAATACAATCAAGTTAGGCAGATACCTGGGATGCACACAGTCAATTGCTTACGATGTTTGGAATTGTATCTTGACTCGTTCTACAAATGATATAGTGCGAGCTACAACCGATATTCCTATAGAGTAAGCTCTTGGAGCCTATTTATACGTTTTTCAAGTTTTTTCCTTAGGTATAACCGCTACCTTTTTCTCCCCACCATAGACGGATTGAATATTCCTGGTAATCCTCTGTGGATCCTGAACAATGCGCCGACAGGATTGGCAGCTATTCCTAGCGCTGTTCCACTACTTATTGGCATGAACGCACAAGACGGTACAGAGGTAATTATATCAAAGTCGTTGCGGATTTTCGCTCATTATTCATGTGATTTTTGTGTAAATACTAATCAGAAGTCTGCCTTAACTATTTGTGACATGTTCAGTAGCATACGTTCTCTTACAGGTCATACTCGAAGATCGGTTGCTCGGCGAGTTCAATGATTTCAACAACGTTGATCAGGAATACTTCCGCAGTTATGCACTAGAATATGCCTTCCGTCACAACTACACGATGAATCGTGAAGCGATTGTGGAGGCGATAATTGACCGTTATACATACTGGCCGGATCCTTCTGATGAATGGGCGGTTCGTAACGCTTTCATCCAGTTCGTCACGGATGCCTACTACACGGCTCCAATAAGTTTGTCTGCGCATCTGCATTCTGCCGCTGGGTCGCGCACCTTCATGTATGTAAACAACTACAACTTGTCAAGAACTGGCTTTATACCTGGTTGGATGGGTGAGCTTGGCTTTCGTGAACAATACGTGTGCTTAAAATGTAGAATTGTTATTCAGGTTCTTGTCGTGAGTGCGATCTTTACATGCTCTTTGGATACGCGTTTATGCCAGACGATCTTCGTCCGTATCAGCTGAGAGGCGTGAACTTCACGCAGATGGATAGAAATGCCAGTCAGCTCTTCTCGAACGTGTTTCGGCGTTTTGTATATCATCAGTAAGTTTCTTTGATCTCATTTGTATCTGTGCAGTCAGCTCTTCTCGAACATGTTTCGGCGTTTTTGTTTTTTATTCTCATCAGGTTCACCCAAGTTTTCTTCTAATTAAACATATCTGTTATTGGATTTATTTTAGGAATCCGAACTTCTTGTACGATGGCTCGTGGGCTGCTTTGGAGCCTCGGCGTCACTGGTATATGAATTTCAACTACTCTCATTGGTCTGAAATGTCGATTCCCGGAAAACTTGAAAGGGATTATCTTTACATGGAAGTGGCTTTTTGGAACGAGTACATTCCTGCTTTGGTGAACTACATGACGACGACATTTCCTCCATCGGAGGTCTCCGTTAGGCGGCAGTTGATGGTCTTTCAGTGGGTTGTGGCGATCGTTGTTGCATTTTTACTTTTATTTATCGTATTAACGGGTGGTTTTGCTTATCAAGTTTGTGAAAGATCGCAAGATCTTCAGGATGCAAAGGAATCCCATCGTTTGGTTGAACATGTTGATAATTTCAATTCGAATAACTCGATACATGATACTCACTTTCATCGCGTCAGCAATCTCTAATTAAGGGTATCTACTTGCATGCTTTTATAACTTATAATCTTACGAGTTTTCACCACTGATCATCACGTCTTTCCTGGTAATTTTGTACATAATGTATGTAATCTCATGTTTATGCAACATAACTTTCACATGTTCACTTCTTTTGTGAATTTTTTATAGAATTCATGGTACTTTTTCACTTTGTACATCACTTACCAGGTTGAGCTGAGCTCAAGTAAATATCTTCACAAAGTTGTAGTGTTTTGGTCAGATTTGTTCAACGTTGTATATCTGGAATGGTTTTGCGCCCATTTATGCTGCTGCTCATAACATTATCTTTATTTCACAGGGATAATGGCACCACCAAAGACCGTCACAAAGGGTAAGGTCTCAAAGGCACTCAGTGCCAAAAAGAAGGTGGCGAAGGGACAGCATACCGTCCATAAGAAGAAGATCCGCACCTCCGTTCACTTCCGACGACCCAAGACTTTGAAGACCCCAAGGATTCCTAGGTAATTGCTATTTCTCTTATTGTGGGTAATTCGGAATCCTTGTTCTTCAAGAGATTTTCTCCTTATCATATTTTATAGGTATCCCCGCAAGTCTGCTCCAGCCCGATGCAAGCTGGATTCGTTTGCCATCATCAAGCATCCACTTACTACTGAGTCTGCTATGAAGAAAATTGAAGATCACAATACGTTGGTCTTCATCGTTGATGTACGCGCAAACAAGCATCAAATTCGTGCGGCCGTAAAGAAGTTGTACAATATTGAAGTGCAAAAGGTAAGATAATCATTCCACTCGTTCTTGAATTTTCTTTTATTTTCGGATCGACCAATTTGTCAAGCATGCATGTGTCGGAAAGTTGCAGAAATTACACCATACAAATTCTGCACATTCTTGTTTTCGTATCAGAGTCTATCTTGTGAGAATACATGATAAGTCCGTTTTGGGGTTCCTATAGTAGAACAAGGGCGTAACTTGCGCACTTTTGATTGTTTGCAGCTCACTCTAAGCGCATTTTGAACTCAGCGATGCCTTTGCATCAAACTTCAGAGTTATACTCACTATATGCACTCGAGATTCGCTTATAGTAGAATGGGAGACATTTAAAAAATTGCCAAATAACATGGCTAACGTAATCCGCGAGGTATGTCGAGGACCTTTCTGTCAGTAGCGGTCTCTTTCTGAGTCAGTTAAAGCTTTTTGAAATAGCCAAACATCTGAAGCTTGTTGGAGGTTGGAACATTTGCCTTTATTGTACTTACGAAACATGGATGTTAGCATCTAAAAAACTTATTCTCTCTTTTATCATGCTTTGTTTGGTTTGTTTGTGATGGGGCGATGTAGCACAATGTAGTTTGACGCTGTTTATCAAGTTATTGTTTACAGAAGAGACTTGTTGGCAAGAGAATATTGTTGGATCATTACAGATCAACACGCTCATTACTCCCCTCTTGGAAAAGAAGGCGTACATCCGCTTGACGACCGATTACGATGCGTTGGATTGCGCCAACAAGATCGGAATCATATAAACTTTTGTTGTTTTGTTTTGAGTGGTTGATAAAGTTGTTATTGGTTTTGTTAAAGTTGTTAAATGTTGTTCTTGAAACTCACATTATCTTATCTGTGTTCTGTAAGGAACTTATCAGATGAGGATGAGTTTTTGCAGATGGAAAGCTTTTTTGATTTCATCTTAAATGAATATTCGTGGCTGATCGACTCATACATGATCAATTACTTCATAGACGACTTGTGGAATAGACTGCCAAATTCGTGGCGATGTGCTTTGGATAATGTTGAGGTAAAGATTGAAGTGATTGTTTTTTTTTTTTTGCACTGGATCTTTTGATATGTGTTAGTTTGAGAGAAATCGGGAAGCGAACGATATTTCTATGTAAGACATGGTCTCAAAACAATTTTCGCGTCTCGTGTTGCTCCACGTTCTGATGGAATCTAGCAAATGGCAGATTACTGACAGCATTTTTTTCAAGTAGCGACATTGTTTTTTTTTTCGGATTCAAAAACATCTACAAGTAAATAGGTTATTTAGATGATAAACTTCAGATGCTCTCGCTTTCTCAGAAACAACCAATTCAAAAATCTGTGTAATCTGCGGAGACTTTGAAGCTTTGAATCCATCTTTGAGTGGTGGCGAAAGCATCTGAAGGACAGACATTGTACCAACAATATGTATGTATCAAATACACACCTACAAGATCTGACGTTCATGGAACTTTTGCGGTGTTAAGAAGTGTTGGAGATGGCTACGCTTGTAATGGTGGGCAACATCCGCGCTTAAAACTGATCAAAGAACATAGAATTTGGAGTTTCAAGCCCTGTGTCATTTTTACGCGCAGATACTGTCTGCAGTGCAACAGTACAGTAACCGACAAATGTACTGAAAGCTAGTCCCAAACGAAAGCAGCTACCCATGTGAGCGAGACTTGCGAGCTTCATTGATGTAATGCTGGACCGTGGCGGCGCTTGTTCTAGCTTACAAGGGAATGGTCAGAAGACGAGTTGGCCAATCCAAGCAAACTGCTCACCATTCGATGCAGCATTCAACGCTGATTTCGAATCTGTATTCCATATCTGCTTAGCGCCTTTGTGGACGAAGTTATGAGCAGTTTTATTGCGAAAAAATCGTGCATAAGAATTGCGAGATCTAGCACACTGTTGCAATTTCAGCATGTTTTGACCTAGCATTGAGCCGCACATGGCTCTGTACTGCCAAATTTGCATTGCATACACGTTTTTTGAGCAAAACAACGACTTTCTACGGCTCAGAACTTTGCCCACATAGGAGCTAAGCAGTTATGGAATACAGATTCGAAGTCAACGTTTTATGCTGCATTTGATGGTATGCACTGTTTGGAATGGCCACTTTGATTTTTGACCATTCCTTTGTTAGCAGAAATATGATCCCTACGGCCTTCGCCAGCCATCAGCCTTCAGACTCTCTAAGACGAAACAACGTGAAAATGAAGTGACTTATTCATACTAGCGACGAATCAAAATCATTCTTAAGGATTTTTAAAAGTTCAAATTCGTCTTGTAAAAAGTTTTTTCCGGAGCGTGGCTGCTGATCCGCCGCCTTTTTTTAAACTTTCGGGGTTATGGGTCCGCAGGAATTTTGGAAAGCATCCTACAAAATTTTTGGAGTTTACAGCGTTAGTCTCGCCATACAAAAAAAAATTTTTTTTTGTCGTGCCCCTCCCACGGGTGCGCCCCTGTAAGCTGGTAAGTTGGTTTGAATTTGTTGTGAAAAGTTACCAAATTCTGTCAGAGCAGCTTCTCAAGATCCAATATCCCACATGATTCGTCAAAAAAGTCACAGTGCATCGAAGTTCATCGAAATGCTCCGCATCGCTATATCCTGGTTTAGAGTGAAAAAATTCGAAATTCGAGGGATTAGACACAGTTCGGCTAACATAAGCTAAAATCTAAATAGATGCGTGAATTCTAACCTTGTACCTTGCACCTAGCGTATCTAGAAACGGGCATTTCTATATAGACACGTCTCATCGAGTAGGGCCTTGGCCATACCTTACGGCGATCTGGCAGTTTGCTAGATGTCTTCAAATCCAACACGGGCACATCGCAAATGCATGGGAGACGGCCCTTCTGAACCGCTAGCATTAGCAGCCTAATTACTGCGCGCCTCTGATTGGTCGGCGCTACCGCGGCGCTTGGGCAGGCGAGAGCTATGCTGTCGTTAGAGACGTCTGAATTGGACTGCAAAGGCATTCTCATGATAAAAAGAATTAAACAAGATCTCAAGTTCCCCATGAGACTCAAAAATGTTATACGTGAGCAGTTTAGGTATCTTCAGCTTACATGTGCAGACTTCATGATGTTTTGAAAAGTGGGATGGGCGAAGAAATCGCGAAAGGCCAGTAAAAAACATGCAACTTTTCCAACTTTTTGCATAAGTCAAACATCGTCACATTATTCGTGTGCCTCGCTTGCTTGGGAATGCTCAGAAATTTTTGAAAACTATGATAGATTATAAGAAAGGCGAAGTAATTAGCGCCGCTCGGGCAGAACAATTAGCGATAGGACGAAGCGGTTCAGAAGGGCATACACTCCAAATGCATAGAGTGTACAACATTTGCAGATTGGTAAAATGCCCTATCCCCTGCACATCCAAAATGTGTGCAGGATGAGTTCTGGACAATTGGAGTGCCAGTTGTAAGGCGTGAGGTATGGTCAAGGCCTAAGACGAACAGAGGCTTTGGTTGAATTCGTCCACTCTGAACCACCAAGATATGGCGATGCGACGCGAATTTCGGTGAAACTCAGTTAGGAAACTTTTTTGACGAATAATGGGCGGTATCGCTATCCATATCCCGATAATTTTCTTCTACAGCCGGAGGATTGCATTTGTCTTGTGGATGTTACGGTACCACCACGGAAAGTGTTACCGCTTTCCTTGACGTGTCTACGAATTCTCATGAGATGTTTGCCTTCACGCGAAGCAGTTGAGACTCCTGGCCAGGTAGCTGAAGCCTGTGGAATTGAGAATGCTTCGGTAAGAATTACCCAAAAAACATTTCCATATTCGTGCTCTTCAGCATGCTGATTTCGCAGCAATCACATCTCGAGAGAATTGGAGGACAAAATTGAAACCGAAGAAACAGTATGAGATAGATCGTATCGTAACGACAATCGATCTGCTGAGAAAGGACAGTTCAGGTGCGAAATGTTGTATGATTTTCTGGAAAATGGATAGAATTCTGCCTTAGAAAACTTTCAAAATATTTCACGTAAGAAGAAAATCTCCTGAATTTTGAGTTTTTTGCCTCTCTGGTCATCGAATGTTGCTGAAGGAAAGGTTAGGGAGAGCTGAAATAGCAAAATATGGAAGTGCACTTCACTCCATTTTTCGTCCAAATTTTGCTCCAGATCTGCAGATGCTTCATCGTTAAACTTCAATAATCATGCAATCAACACAGCTTCATGAGCCGTACAAAATATATCTTTGAGAAGTTGTCCAAATCCTCATTAGTAGGCTCCAGTTTCTTTTCTTTTTTTTCTTGTTAACGGTGACCATGTTGTCAGCGTGTGCCAAAGGTGCCTACCGTAACCCTCCGTCGATGAAACTATCTTCAATCCCATCTGCTGTTATTTTTGAAGCTAGTCCACACTATTGGTTGGCACATAAGTTCTGCAACCAATTTTGTAACTTTTCTCTTTTTGAATGTGGCGCCTTCACTCTTAGGTATAATATAGATTAGGTAGTAGGCTACAAATGTGCGTAAACAGTAGTTTGATTTTTGGTAGGGAAGTAGAGAAAATTTGCATTCTTTGAAACCTGATCAAATTTGAAATTTTAAGGGTCGGGAAACCAAAAATACAGCCGTTCTTAGTCTGAATTAAACACATCAAGCCGAAACTGTACACACATTGTTGAAAGAAGATTCTCTAATAATTTACACGGCTTTGGCTTGATGTCTTTGATTAGATTGAGAACGGCTTCATTTTTGGTATTTGACCCTTGAAAATTGCGTAAATCTTCTCCGCACCGCTAACAAAAATCAAACTGAACATATCTGTAGCCTACTACCTAATCTACATAATGCTCAAAAATGAATGCGTCACAGTCAAAAAGAGAGTAAAGAAATAGTTGCAAAATTTTTGTGTCAACCTAGATACATTTGTTGAAATATCATCTATCTATGTATCGGGTGGTGTGCTATACACTTGAGCTGTGAAATTGCGCACGTACTTTTCTGCTAATGAAGACTTGAGTAATTATGTAACCCTGGAAACGTATTAGCTTTAATACAGGGATTATTTTTTCGCTCCCAAAAAATCATGAGTGCATTTCGAAATTCTGCGTTCGGAGAGGGCGTGCTGATCAATACCTTTTGTCCAAATAAAACTTGATTTCCTGAGAATTTTGCGACGATTGGTATAATGGGTACTTAGAGGATTTTGCCCTTTTTCTTGCTGTATCATAAATTTCTTTTAAAAGTGTGTTTCCGGAACAGTAATCAAAAAAGATGAAGCGCATCCAGTTGCCGTTTGTAAAAGCTGATCTTGCTGATGTCTTTCTCCCTCACGAAATTTATTTCTGTGTGTTGTAAGATTGCTGAAATTGGGCGGCGAAATGGGGTGTGAAAGATCACTTGATTAGCTGAAACTACGTATCTATTTGAGCTCCAAACTCATAAAGTCATCGATCTTGCAAAAATCAGTTTTACTTCTATCGACAATGAAGTTTTTTTTCATAAAAAAAACTTCGCTCTCATTTCAAAGTGGCTTAGTAATGTTGTAAGAGACTATCTGCTAGTTCCCACAAAAATCGATGGAAAAAAGAAAGTATGAATAGTATTATAGAACTGGTGCACTGCAACTTTTTGCATCAGCTTAGACGATCAAAACTTTTATACTTTTAGAATATATTAGGGGAGAGGATCGCTGCGTCATATGCACTCTCACTGTCATATCAGTTGCTCTCGTTTGAAATTTTTTGTCTAGCATTTGATGTAAAGAGAATCTTGGAGTGACCATATAGTGCAGTAAGCAATTAAAGACCAAATCTCTACAGGACAGTGGCAAAGTTCTTCCGGAGTAGTCACACTTTTCCCTCTTCCTAGTGATTTTCCTGGTGAGATGCACCGACTAGGAATAGTATAAACATTTTCCCTTGTAAGCTTGAAAGGGAGTTAATTGGTATATAAACTCCCAGGCATTCTCAATGGTTATCCTTATTATTGCAAGACGAGTCGTGTAGTGGTATGAGGCGCGCATGACCAGATAGAGCAAGATTCGATCCCCGACCCTGTTCCCACCAAGCCCTCTACCATCCTGGGCCGTTGAGTTTGTACAAGAGTAATCCGAGGGATAAAAACGCTGACTTAACCGTAACCGATCGGCCCCCGCAAGTCACTGCAGCATGCCCGCACACATTCAGTAGATACAGTGAGTTCGACGCATGCCCGTTCAAAAAATATTGAAAACGGCGGGTCTCCATTATATGAAAAAAAAAACAGCATCTTACAGGATGCGCCAAAATAAATTGCGCATGCTTCTGTGATTCCAAAAGGATACAAGACGGGCTTGACTGCGAATTTATCAAGCATGCATCTGTTTTCAGCAACCACCAAAACTGGCTGATTTATTTCTCGGAAAAATCTCATATTTTTTCGTCAGCTGAAATTTAATCTGTACGCAAGCGTAACTTGCAAGTTTATACGATATCCTTACGAAAGTTTCTTCTCTTGCTTTAAATTTGCGCGTTAAGGTAAGTAGGCCTTTTCCTTCAATTGTTAAGTACGGATATTTGAAAGTTGATTTGAAGACGGCTTATAAATTTTAAAAATCATGCTTGAGAGGTAGCATATTGAAAATCGATGTTATTTTGGCCCTCTCAAGTGTGTGCCTAAAAATTAAAAAATGTCTTCTAAATCAGCTGGAAAACATTTCAACAAACCGCTCATGATAGGTACCCTTACTTTTCTACATGCCTCGTAAATAAAGATTTTTTTAACCTAGAAAGCTTTGAAGACTCACAATTGCTTTTGAACAGTAAGGTTGTTGCTTGTACGCAGGTATTATTAGCTAATACGTGTTCATATTTCGTAAAAGAATGAATTCTTGCGAATATAGAAACATGTGGCATAAATAGTATTCTACAATTTCACATAGAATGATTCAGGAAAAGTTTATGTTTATTTACTTGCAAAGCAAATATAAAGGCATAGAAATAGCTTTTTTGCTAATTTGAAATTCATTGGTCTCATTCTATCTATTCTTACATTCTTGTATAGAATTCTTCTTGAATTCTGAAAAGTGTATCTAGTAGAGTCTGATTAGAGCATTATATGACATAAGTTTGAGCTCATGATTCTCAATGGTTTTTCCGTGGCAGCGGGGCAAATGTCGACGCAATTTATTTTGGCACTCCCTGTGTAATCGAAGGCTCCTAAATCATTCGAACTTCACCATTTGTTTGCCATTTTACTTCACATACATACCTCGAGCGAGGAGGGCAGCACTACGATACTGTAACCTCCGCTATGAGCACCAAACCTCAGCCACAGGGGGAGGAGTGATGCCCACAAAGGAGACTAAAGTACCGTGGTACTTTTTCCGTCGAGCAGACCACACATATATCGGGTAATCTGTAACCGCTGATAAGAACTTTGGTCTGAAGCCTCTCTGTGATACAGCGTATAGTTTACAAGTTCGTCATCAACGTTTCTCTAAGCTATTGACAAGTTTTCACAAGTTAATAGACCATATCACACAGTAGCTAATCTGTAAGAGTTCACATGTTCATACATGACTGGGGCAATACGCATAGGTTGCTGTAGATAGAAAATACAGAAATAACAACGGCGGATATCATAACACATAGCTATGTATGGCCCTACAATATTAAGCTCAGCACCAGTGTTAGTCACTTTAAGGACAAGCTGTCAGATGTATGCAGCCAAGAAGATGCGATTGCTAGTATGACTTTTGATTTTGATTGTCTGTCTCACAAAGGTTTTGAATATGCCGTCAAAGAATGTTTTTGACGATTTTCTCTTTCTGCACTTTCGAGCGAGATTTGAGCCAGCCACAATGAGATATGGACTTTCACGCGACTTACGCAAAGAGTTTCGTACCAAAGTAATAAGATGTAGAAAGTCCAAAGAGCAATGTTTTGGATAGTTAGCCATGTTAGGATACGATTGCGGTTTATGAATGATGAAACAGAATCAGGAATGTGATATGAAGTTTGAGGCAAAATATCAGACGCAGAATATCAATGACCGGTACTTAGATTTCTAGAGCGTAATTACATGTTGAAACAGAACTACTAGGGTGTCTCATGATTTTCTACCACTTTTACCTTAGACCATTTCTCGAGAATTAGGGCACCTACAAAGGGTACAAATACATGGTACTTCTGTATCATGAGCTATTTGACCACGTGCGTGGGAGGAGCTGAGGACGTATTGAGGCGGAGTTTGGCATTTTACTCCATTCATTTTTCCTTCATTTCTAGGCATCGAAGGAATACGGAAAGTTTACAAGTGAGTGTTCGATATGTCAAGCATGTGCTAGAATTAATGGGGAATTTTTGAGATTTTTTGGAGCGGAGATACGATTTTTGACGGTAAAGTTCGTTTTCGACTGCCATCTATTGCAGCTCAAAACTTCACGTGGAATGCTACTTGGGCAGACTCTTGATAGCCATCTTCTGAAGCTTGCTTTGCACCGTCAAATAATTATTCAAGCCGCATCAGTTGAAGGAAAGACACGAAAAGAAGACGGTTGTAGTAAAAACGGTAAAAAATTATGAGATACCCCAATAATAGGTTGGTTGTCCCGAAATTTCAGTTGGTCTCTCCAAACGACCATAAAACTCATCATGAAGTTCTAGATGCCTTTAAAAATGCATTTAATGCAACTTCTCCTTTTCTTACTGATGGTTATTTTCAAATCATTCTTTTCTGGATGCTTCCAGCCAAGACTCTTAACCTTTATTTCTGTCTGCGCAAATAGCTACTCTTCAAGTAGAGTGATTGGTGTTTTATACAAAATGGTCGATTCTATAACATTCTGAAAAATTATATTTTGAAAAGTTGCTTTGGAAAGCAGAGGTATTATGAAAAAGTAATCCATTAACACTTCGCAGATTTGGCCTGAGAATTGTGGGAAAAAATTAGAGCAAAAGTCTTTCTTTATGTGCCTGCAAACTGTATTTCAAAATTGGGACAAATATTTTAAAAATGGAGCGCGGCGCACCTCAGAATTCTTCGAAAATTTATAGTAATATTGTAAAAGCATAGGTATTAACAAGGAGGGCTTTATTGCTATTTTCTAATTTTTTTTTTGTTGACTAATTTCTTCTTTCTGAGAGATCTTATCATTCATCAAGAAAAGCGAAGTTAGTTTTGGGACAACCTAATATGATTATCTATTCATGAAAGTGATGGTACTTGTTGTTTTTACTGTCTTATTGAAGCTAAGCTTTTTCGATTTCACTCTTCTCGGCTAGCCGTTTTCACTGCTTTTCCTCCTTCTGGTGCATATTTTCGCATACTTCAAGCGCTGCAGATTATATGTGTGTCTCCAGCCATAAGCTGTGAAAATGCGATTTTGCCTTGCGCAAAATCATCTGTCGAGAATTTCTGAAATTTTGGAAATTTCCGCCTCCATTCACGCAAAGAAAATAATGCACTAGATTATTGAGATGTCTGGTGCACAGGTGATAGTACAAATTGAGCCGTCTACAAAATTGAAAATTGAAAATGCTGGTTGTAGCATTAACTATGCAAGACGTAGAAATACCACATTTTCTGTTTTTCTTACAGTTCTTGGAGTTGGATTCCAACAGTTTTTCTAGCTTAACTTGTTCTTCAAGTTCAGTGCTGAATATATACATTTTTGTGTGTGTAAATGTAGTCTGAATTTTACGTTTGAATTTCTTTTGTCATTTCTTTGGGTGTGCGGGCGTCGTCACATTGTCCCTTTTTTTTCGCATACTCGAATCTACACAAAATCGCGAAGAATCACTAAAAACCGCAGTTGTTTTCTGAAAGCTTCATGTGTGCTCTTCATCCCTCGATTGCTATTTATTGTTTTTTTGTGAGAGTAGCCAAAGCAATGTGTTGAAAAAGGCCTACAAAGTATTAGGTCATTCCGACAGTATTTTCGCTTTTTTCTGGCGGCGCCACATTTGATGGAACAAAGTTTTGTGAGAGTTCTTGGCAGCGTTCGACGCAGCATTTTATCCTCTTTCTGAAGGTTATAAAATCGCTGCGCACATTCAATAAGCTCTAAGTACCAAAATCTGCGACATGCTTTTTGAAGTACTCAAGTTTCACAATTCTGTTGAATTTTCATATCAGTTTTCCTATAGAGTAAACCTACGAAGATGCGGTACAACCTTTTTTCTCTTTTTCACAGCCTGTCATTGTTTTTTAAAAAAATTTTCAAACTAAAACCATCGGATTTTGGGAGGCCCACGTCAACCTCAATAGCATCAGACATGAATAAATCTTCGGAATTTGAAACTTCCGAGATGCTATAATTTGACACTAATCTTACGAAGCAAATGAGAGTTTACGGAATCGAAACATCTAATTCAATTTTTTCGCGCACAGCCCGTTCGAAAACATGAACAATGATTTTATCCCCGAAGTCTCCACAAAGCGAAAACAAAAAACACCTAGTAGAAAGAAGAGAAAAAGCTGCATCGGATGACAGACGAGCTGCTGACCGTTTGATACTCTACCGGATTTGAGTTGACCAAGTATGGCAATGGTAGCATCAAATAAAATTCTATAGTAAATGAAAATGACCTACGGAAAGGAGTGAAAAATTGATTTGCAATTTGTAGGATTTGCCCTCTACCCATTACTTGGGCTCTCAGGGGGTGTTACGAAAATTCAGGAAAATTGTGAAGCTTGAGCATCTCAAATAAGCATGGGTCGCAGATTTTGATAATTTCTCAAGAGCTTGTTGGTTCTGCTTCAATGAAACTACGACCCTTAGAAAGAATCAAATGCTTTAACGAATGCTACCAGGATCTCCCTAAAACTTTGTTCCATCATGTGGCCTCCTTTGGAAAAAGAAATTACTTTGGGAATGACCTAAAACTCTTCATGGTAACCATAGAAGCAGAGAGGAGCAGGTTTTCAAATATGAACCATCATCGCGGCCATGATGGCCCACAAACTTTTTCTTCAAGGGGAGCAGTGCAGACAGGGCTTGGCACAGGTGACTTATAAATAAGTTTTTGGACAAAAAACAAAAGGGATATCGCTTTTCCGGTCTGAAAAAACACAGTTAGGTTAGGGCTGCATAATTAAGCATGTAGTACTAGCTTGTTGCTACGCATCCATTCTAGAAGATACAAATGCCAAACAGATTAAAATCAAAGTAAATCATGCTTGCTCTTTTGCAGTGTTTTCTTGAAAGTAATAAATTCTATGAGAGACGTCAAATAAGAACCTCCTTCTCTTAGGGCAGAAAACGTATATAGTTGACAGTGCCGAATTTCATTGCTAGTTCTTAGGATTTTTTTATGAATCCATAAGTTTGTATTGAGAATTTTTTATGAAGCTGGAACCACGGGACATGTCATTTGGTAGCTCCTCCTTTGAGCAAAATTAGAAGAGCACATTTTGTTTCTACTATATAATGGTAGATTGGCTAGGAAATTATTTCTTTTGGTGTGCAATTTCCATCATAACTTTCCTTGGTGTTTCTTCGCTAATCTTTTGATTCGGAAAACAGCTGGTAAACAACGGCGATTTGAAAGACTTCTCTTGGGTAGAAAGGGGAGCGCGACAGAAACTTTTCCCACTTGAAGGGACGCCACGTTCGCATCCTGCGAAAATGTTTTGGAGACTTTGAATGCCTTATTAGTGAGCTTTCTTTTTTTTTTGGAGTTATCTCGCGGCAGAATTTCGTTGGTCTACAGAATTCTTGTTTTGAAGAGCGATCGTTAGTTTGTAGGGTGAAGATACTAGTATTGAAAATCTTTTAAAGAAGATATGAACAGTGATGAATCACTCAAGAAAATGAAAATTGATCAATTTATCGTAAGTAATATATGTTCCAAAAACTCTAGGAATCCAGGCATCAAGAATTACCTTCATATTTATGTTTCCACGTATATTTCCTTCTTCAAAATATGGACACTCATATGAGGTTTGTTTTTCAGGCCCTTCTTTCAACACAGTCATCGATATTGGAGCCGGAATGGGACATCTTACCCGAATACTATCTATATCGATACCTGGGTGTAGAATTATCTCAGTGGAACAAAGCAGCGAGGTTCGAAATTACCGAAAGTTTTCGTTAGTAATCCTTAATTTTCAGTTAATTCGACGATCAAATCTGCTGAATGATCGTTTGCAACGCATTGAGGATTTCACTGTCCCACTGAATTATTGCGAGTCAGTACAAGACGGATTATCAGAGTCTGTAATGGAATGCCTGAAGGAAGGTGACTTGGAAAACATGTTGTTTATTTTATCTATTGGAAATCTATTCAAAATATCCTAATGACTAGTGTTGCCTGTATTGCTTAGTTGGCTATCGACTACCGTTGACGGACAATATGACTGTACTTTTGACTATAGTTACTTGTGACTATAGTCAAAAGTAAGCCATATTGTCCGTCAACGGTAGTCGATAGGATCCAGTTTGGATCAGATCTGGATTGACACTGGATCTGTTCGCGAACACGGCCGCGCGCAAGCGGTTACGAACAGACATGGGCGCGACCTACAGAACATCCTTATTGAATTGGCCGATTATAATCAGATCCGGATTATGTTTTCTTAAAATGCAAAAATTTGAGGAATAAATATGCAGTATGATCAACAGCGGGGACAGATTACTTGAGCTTCAGCTTTTTTTTTTCAGATGAGACGGCTCTCATCATAGGACTTCATCCTTGCGGAAATTTGTCGGTTTCCATAATGCGCACTTTCATGTCTTCACCAAAAGTCACTACCATGCTACTATTTGGCTGCTGTTACCATAAATTGATATCTGAAGGAAAGACAGATGTCGCTCAGGTTGGTTCTTCTTCACATGATTCTTCAAAGGCGTCGTCTTGCGGTTTCACATCCTTGGATTTTTCGTCATTTGTAAGCTTCTTGAACATAACGAACCCAAAACTGTGGCTGAGGGCTGGAAAGAAGGAGGGATTTGACTGTGAGGAAGTGCGAACTGGGGGTTGCGTCTTCAAGCCTTCAACGGGAGCGATGCAATTATGAACCTACTAGCCGCAGCCGACGCAAATTTTTTTTTTGATATAAGATCTGAAAAAAGAATTATGGGGAAAGCTCTATACAGTAACTTTGCTCATTTTTCTTCGCCGGTTTCCGGCAATTGGCTGACAGGTTGACCTTACCAGGCAATCGCCGGATATGGGCGGAGACACTTAGCCAAGATACCACGCCTCCCATTCTGACGCACTAGCCAATCACAGCCTAGAAGCGGACCAGCGATTCCCGCCATTCTTACGTAATCTCAGCCAGAGATATGGTCTTCTTGACGTCTTCGGGTTTCAGCTACAGAAAGCATTGAACAAAAATCCGAACTTGTAGATCCACTATAATGCTCGTAAATCAGCAAAAGAATTCACCACTTCACCGGAGTTTACCGATATCTCCGTCGCATTGCCATATCTTGGTTTAGAATGCATGAATTTTGAAACCAAGGGCAGCTTCGTTTAGCTTCGCAAGCGCATTTTCTGATATGCCCGTCTGGATACGGTGGGCGTTCAGATTTCGTAAATTTTCGCTTACAGTAGGTTACTCACTGAGTGACCTAGCATAAGCAAAAGTTCAAAAGGAGTAGTGTAATCTGACCGTCTACCGTGCACCTGTCGTATTCAAGCGGGCATTTCCATAAAAGGGGAGATGCGCTTCTCCAAACTGAGTTGAACAGTGCCCTTGTCTCAAAACTCGTCCATACTGAACAAAAAATAAATGGCGATGCGACGCGGATTCTGGTGACCGGTAGATTCGTTAACTTTTTTGAGGAATTTTGAAAGATACTGTACCTGGGCAGTGCGCTGAGCAAGTTTTTGCGATTACAGGAGGATCGAGAACGATTAGGCTTTCCTCTCAGTTTACGGTTTCGCGGAAAACATCTGTCATACGCGGCTAGGGACTTGGCTTGCCATGGAAATGAGATGTATGCAAGACAATTGTTAACCAAGGTTTGCAATATGATAGCATTTTGAGGAATTATTTTAGCGCATTTTCTAGCCACACTCAAGCTATCGAATGCAGTGCTATCGCGCTGTGCTTGAGTATCTGTTAACATGCAGCAGCAATGAAATAATACTTGAGCGACGTTCGTCAATAGTGGTACAGTCCGTCTCGTCAAAAAATGGAATACGCTTTGAGCAGTACTTACAAAAAGCACTAGCGAAGAACTCTGATATAATTGCTGTACTGGAAAACGAGGTCAGTTGCGAACTTTTCCTATATGACGCGTTATTCAGTCAAACAATCAAACTTTTTTTCAAAAAAAAAGAGGTGGTGAGCATGTTTACATATCAGTTATCAGTCGCTAGCAAGGAATATCAATTTTGAACTTGATTTTAACAAGAACCACTGGATCGCGGTATTAGGGAGATCCCAATAGAACGGATTTTCATCTTGAAACCGTAAGCTTCAACTCATTTAATCCAGCGAGATTGAGGTGGAAAAATACTAGTCACGGATCAATATTTTTGCGGAATGGATTGATGCAAGAATTATTATCTGTACACATCACATCTTTCGGAAAGTATAACAAAATCTCCCATCGTCGTTCTTTGTTCAGCTGAAACTCATATGGTATAGGGGCCTGCAGGATCGCGAGAGTCGGACGCGCGTATGGTCATTGCGCCGCGCACGTCAGATGTGCGTCCGACGACTCAGGTAGGTGCCAGACTTATCCTGTTGAACAGGTTCATTCGGTTCACCACCTTTTCTGTTGGACAGTGTAGCGATTTGACCTGTGAACCGAACGAACCGGCTGAAGCGGATAAGTCTGGCACCTGACTTAGTGACATCAGACGTGCGCGGCGCAATGGCCGTACGCACGTCCGACTTTCGCGATCCTGAAGGCTCCTATAATAGTTCCTCATGAATTTAATCGTTTCTATAGGATCTCCTCGGTACTCAAGGTAGATCTCTACACTATCTGTTTGATGTGACAGGTTATGGCCATGTTCTCTCAGCTCTGATTCTTCTATCCATTGCATTTTTGGTCTTCTCTAGGTCTTCCGCTTCACACGTCCATCCAGAGTAATACGAGATGTGTTTTTTTTCCCTTTTGCAGAGATAGTCATAGCACATCTCTTATTTTGTGCAGTTTGAGCTATGAAAGCAACCTCAAATGCTCTTTCATCTAACACTTTTTCCCCTTTGTGTGCATGACCAGCAGTCAGTGTTCATATTCTTATCTATAGAGTATCCTCCTTACATTCCAAGCCGCTCGGCATATCCAGTGTCATTTTTTAAACCCATCGTTTTAGATAACGGAAAACGATGAAGCTAGGCGACTGATCGAATCCGTGGATAGCGAATGGCGTCGTTTTTTGGTGGTGCACTGCCTGCGACTTCTTTTTGCTCCTGCTATTGAACAAATGATTATTCTGGATCGGATACAGTATCTAAAAGAACACGGGCACAGGGTAACCGTTGTTCCTTTGTTTGATCCGAGGATCTCACCTAGAAATTTTGCGATCATTGCGCGGAAGTAAAGATGTGGAAATTTAACATAATGGTTATATAGAAACGGGGAATGTGTCCAAGAAAGCGAAAAGGAATTTTGCATCTGGCAGATAATGGAGAGCGGTGAAGAGTTTTGCATTCGAAACGTTGCAAAAATTTTGAGATTGCCTGATAAGTGAAAGGAATGACTCATGGCTCATTATCTTGCGGGCTTTTTTTCAAAAAGGTCCACGTTTGTAAAGCTAATGAGGAGGCGGAAGCGTTCGTGGCTGACCAATTTCTTCAGAAGAAAGGAAATTTGTTGGAATACACTACATAACTTAGAAAGTAAAAATGGAGACCCAGAGAGGTCTATGGGGATTTTTCGATCTTGCACGAAATGCTTTGGATCGTACTGAGGCCGCGAACTTGCGTGGAAGTGGAAATGGGAAACAGCTTACTGCTTCTTAGAGGTAGGAATACTTGGACCGGAAGGAAGAAAGAAGGTGCATCTAGAAGTTACAACAGGACACTCATGTCACCGCTACAGAAACAATGATGGAAGATGGTATGGAACGCTGGTAGATTTGTTGTAGGCTTTAGTATAGTTCTTGTCTATAATCTTTCCTTAGCTTCCTCCAAGGGTCTTCTGATCTGGAGGTGCAGTCGTTGTTTTGGTGATAGTTGTGTGCTCTCTAACTTTCTTCTTATATTCTCTGCCCCGAAGATGAATGGTTGTTGGGAGATGGCTTACCGGCGACACAGACATGTTGGTAACCTAATGTGAGCTAAGTTCCAGCTAATTATTTATGGCGCATGCCCTGCCATCCATATAAAAAGCTGACTTCGCCAATTCCTTGCACCTTGGCTTGTTCTTTAGACAAGTCGCGGGATTCAGAGCTTGAAAATCCATGTTGGGTGAAGGCTGGGCAATATAGACCGTGCCAAACCTAGAGGACCCTGCCACGCTACGGATAACCGATCTAGTTTTACATGGGGGTTCCGGCTTCAAACTTATTCATTTTCTTGCGATAGTTGCCGTGCATGGCGAAAACGATTTGTTAACCACGCCCATTACATAAGCGCGATAATTTTCTATAGTGCCAACAATGCCACTCAGCTATTTTTCTATCTCGCTATCCATCTCCACAAGAGGCTCCTGATGAGCCTTCAGATGAGACAAATTGGGCAAGCCTCTCGGTTATGCCCGAGGACTATATCGTATTCGCCCATATCTAACATTCTATCGTCTCATCACGTCCCTGGGACTCCTCACCCGTGCTACCCTGAATGAAGTGTCGATCGGCACCATCGCTAGTTGGTGCGACGCACTCGTTACTGTAGCCCCTTCTGTAGTTAACGGCAGTTGTGAGCTATAAAATCCTGAAAAGGCGCTAAAAGGCGTCCTGAACGCCTCGGATCTCGATCCGGAATGCGGCCAATTTCTATCTCCCGTGCCGATCCTGCCCGGTACGTCGGATCCCGTTGCTTACATTATCTCAGCGCCAAGTACGGCGCCACATTATTCTATACCGAAGGCCCGACATTGGACCTCGACATATTCCGTTGGAACCAGGGAGCGTGTCAGTTGAGCAGGTGTGGCTAATTATGCCACGCATGCCCGTGGCCGTCTCCCGGAATTTTCTGGCGTGGGACGTTATACTGAGGAGGGACCATGAAAGGGACAGACAAGCGAGAGAATTGTATGGATAGTAAGGGGCAGTGTGGCCAACAGGAGGGCACTGCCCAGATGTACGACCAATTCGCCATTCGGTGGTCGTGTATCCATATAGCCGGACATTGAGTCTATTTGTCAGATGTTTAGTGTTCCTGCTTACAGTTTGCAGACACGCTGAACACATCGATTTAACCGAATTGGCCCCTGGTTAGGTCGCTACGTGATGCAGTGATCTGCGTAACTTCTAAAATCAAAACAGCTTCTCTTCCATCAAATGGCGTTCATCCCATTTCTATGTAAGGTTTACTCATAATTCGTGCTCATACTCAAGCTGAACAGTTGTGTTTCGCTGTATCACTCCGCTAATAGCTTCTTCACTGGAATGGTCTGGGGACGCTACAAAAAAGCAAATGTGGCCTTTGATGAAGCCCTCCCTCCTCTTTTTTTTTGCATCGATCATGTTGTTGTAAATGAATGACATTGTTAACTTGGTGAGAATGCATTTCTGAATTGATGAATATTAATAAATCGTTATGCCCCGTGTGGATTTGCTAACAAAGCTGGGTGGAAAGATATATCATATTTCTTTGTCCCCTCCAAGCTTCGGCAGTTGTTTGGCTTGTGAATAGATCGCCAACACAAAGCTTCAGTAAGGTTACGTTCATAGAACGATTGCTAGAAGTGGTGAATCATCAGAGTTCAAAGTGGTACAGCTTCCGCATGGTTATCACAACAAATGTTTATCTATCTCAACGTACGGAAATGCGATAGAATTTGGTTCTCGATTCGTGGCAGATATAGACTTTCGAGGTCTTACTTTGAAATCTCCTTAAAAAATCGTGCGGCAGCCTTGCATGAAAAAACTTTAAACAAGGCTAATTCTTATTTTGATAGAAACTTGATCATTGGCTTGTAGCATGAGTCTTGTATCAAAAATTCTTAATTTATCACAGCGGAGTTTGACTCCGCCATTAACGCGACGCTACGCTCCTTCAGGATACGGTGGGACTAGTGTGTCCTAGATAACTCAATAATAGTGCTCTGCCATCATCAGAACACGATCCCATCTGGTAAAATGAAGTTCATCAACAATTTGATCCATGAAATGCCGGGATTGTATCATATTTTCCACGGCTACCATCACTTCCCCAAGGCAATACAGAAAGATCGCTGAAGCATTTTTTTCTGCTCTCAAGTAGTAGGAGATTTTCAAACTTTTTTGATGGGATTCAGAAACAAATCAGAATAATCTATGCTTACTGGTATAACTGGTTTTGAGTATCAGTTTGCGAACAACAGCCTCCGCAAAGTTATCCTTCATCTAACTATTCTACCTTCCACGATAAACCATAGCTTCTGTTTGACTTACTTCACCCTCAAAGTCCAAGTACATGCTGCAGTCGTGTAAAGCACATACTAAATATAGTTGCGGATAACGGCACACTTGATTACAGTATTTTCTGTCATAATTTCTTGCAAGTATGACTGCATCTGAAAATTCTTCAGATTTGCGAAGCTTACATGTATATTGGAAAACGCTTTTCAAAATTATAAACAACATTGATAATATCATTCAGCCAACAAAACGGAGTTGCTTAGGTTTCCTCTCTCGCAATTCGTTGCGAACTGGGATTTTCGCTCTTTCTTACTGTCATCTGTTGAGTGGCCGTCTTTTATTAGTTGTCCTGTCGAAGTGTGGCATGCAGAGCGTAGTCTGCTTATCTATCATAATCATAGTAGGATGGTAAATGAATACTTTCCCAAAAATTGGTGCATTTTTTATTTTGCATTTTAGCCTCTCCCAGGAGCGCGTAATCCTGCCATGCCCTGCCATGTGAAGGATTGTTCTGAACTTCATTGTCGCCGCCATGTGGAAAGTGCTGCTCGCTTCCGTCGCTGTTTTAGGCGGATATTTTACTAATAGTAAGTTTTTGTATAGAGCTCAGCTCCTTTGTTATTTTATGGATTTCTCCTGCTCTCAGAGGTTTGAAAGACTACTCGTTACGTCAGATGTCGTATGCGAACGGGACCGATGCGACCTGTGCAGATGTTGTCTCTCCTCCTCCGCAATGGGTATGAAACTTGTCAGGTCTTTTTAAACGAACTTTTTTTTTGACATTGACGGCAATAAGGTAAACTGATTGACATGCACTAATCGAGTTTCAAATCCAAATTGGCTCTAATTTGTATCTGAATGCATCGCAGGATAAACAGAAAGGTCTCGTCAGAATATTAACGTCTCAGTGACTTGGGTTTTGCTTTCATGGCCACTATTCAGTTACTGAACAAAATATGAAACTTTTTGCCATTGTCTCAAAATTGTTCTCTCTCTTAACTGAAGTGCTTCACCTTGACGATAAGCTTATTAGGTCAAGGACGGGCTCAATAAATAGTATGAAGAAGTAAATAATCTTGTAGCACGGCCTTTGGATCTTGCGGGTTGGGGCAAACTTATGGATAAATGCTGTTTCAGCCCTATTAATATCCTAAATGAATTTCCAACTTATCAGCATACGTATTGCCGCAACCGTTCAAAGCGAGATCTTCGGAGATTTTCTCAAAATCTGAGTGGGAAGTTAATTATACCGTTCTGAAACGATGTTGCGCCATTTCCATATTAATTGACCCAAAAGTTGAAAGACGCGAATTTTGTTGAAACTTCGTCTACCTTGGGTTATTTGCACGCCGATTACGAATATCACACTGATTTTGCATTTGATGATGGAGTTACGGTAGGACTACAGTGGAGAATCAAAATCACGGATTGGCCTCAAACTTCGTCTAGGGGAGGGGGGGGGGGGGGTTATTTGGCAAGCTGAACATGAACATCACATTCATTTCGTACGGTAGCAGCATTTTTTGGTTACGGTGGGTATACGGTAGATGGTTGAGAATCCCGAATTTGCTCAAAACTTTGCCTGACGGGGTTTTTAGGCATGCCGATTGCGAATGTTATGCTTATTCACTGCAACAACGCCTTATTGTCAGAGTTACGATGAGCTTCAGTGAGTGAAAAAGCAATTTTTCCGCTTTTCAGCCAAATTTATACAAAAACTCCACGAAAAGGCTTTGTCATGCGAGACAAGTGGTTCAAGCAGATCTATCATTTTAGTATCACCTACCGTGCACTTATAATTATGCCGTAATGAGCGTGCAAAGTTACCCCCCCCCCCGCTTTAGACGAAGTCTTAGGGAAATTCGCGATTTTCATTTTTCAACTAATGTGGAATAGAACCACAATGTTTTACTCTGAGGATCACTGTACAGTTTCCTTCCAAAGTGTCATTCTAGCACTCACACTCACATCTTGGAGAGAACAATCAAATTCAAACAGAGCAACTGCTTTCGAAAGCGAAAATTTCGGAGATTTCTCAAAATTTGACCGAGCACCCCTTTTTCATTCCTCTTGACTGCGTTGTTTTTGATCATGGATTTTCTCACCGCTCCATTAATTTTCCATAAACGTTTATTTTGATAGATTTTCGCTTGATTGATAGCTACATATTTCAGGGCGAGTCGGTGACGTGCCTCAACATATGGGTACGTATTTGAGATTCAGTCTGTAGTCGGGAACCCCATGCACTGGAACTGCATGGGACGCGTAAATAAAGGCAGGACGAGCAATGACCACAAGAAATTTGGATTCACTACATTATAGATGTCATAACATACCCGGTTCTACGTGGTATGCTGCGAAATCGTGAATGCACTATGGTACGGCATAACAGCGATGACAAAATTCAGAACGAAATGTCGAAGGATTGCCGTTGTGGAGGAAGAATGGTGCACAATATCATTCATGAAAAACTTCGGTGAAAAAAAAACCGCGAACATCATCTATATCGTACTTGGAGGTTTGCTTTTATAGGTGTATGTATGTGTGGGTTGCACGTACCACCTTATACGACGACAGTAGCGGGACGATATGTTAAAGGATTGGCGTTGTGGAGGAAGAATGTTAAAAGATTGGCGTTGTGAAGGAAGAAGCTGCACGTACCACCTTATACGACGACAGCAGCGGGACTATATGTTAAAGGATTGGCGTTGTGGAGGAAGAATGTTAAAAGATTGGCGTTGAGGAGGAAGAAGTTGCACGTACCACCTTATATGACGACAGTAGCGGGACGATATGTCGAGGATTGCCGTTGTGGACGAAGAATGGTACACAAGATCATTCTTGAGAAACTTCGGAGAAAAAACCACGAACATCGTCTATATCGTACTTGAAGGTTTGCTTTTATAAGTGTGTGTATGTGTAGGTTGCATGTGTCACTGTTATACTAAACACCTTACCTATACTCACCTTTTCGACGCAGCCCTTTTTTGAGAAAGAATACAGAAAAAAGAAACAAAATGATTGCCTTTCTATCATGGACGCTGTCGTAAAGCAAGTGTATCGGATCGTCATAACAACTGATGATTACTTATCCTGGGCCTACGTAATGGTTGGGGGACGAAAATGATATATGTATATCATTTTGGTAATTTGATATGCCAGAAAAATCACCTTTAGAAAATGTCTCACATTATCCTCGAGATAATCTGAATCCAGCGTGCTAATTTACTCTCTATTGTGCTTCTCTACAAGGCAGTGTCCGGGCAAAAAATCCATTTTGAGATTTTTTGCTTACTCGGGCCTACTATGCTAAATCTATCCACAGTAGAGAGTGCAGAAACGGCGAAAAATGTCTCTAGCGCGGGAGGGATATCAACAGGTGGACAGGGTTTCCGCTGTGAATTTAGTGGGGGCCGTGCCCACCTTGATCCCAGTTTGCGGAGCGATCTTTTCGGTTCCGATTTCAGTCATGTGTTCGCGCTTGGCCGGTGTGGATGTTAGGGCGGCTAGCGGAAGCGAAGGTTGCTCTTGAAGCTGGGGGAGTGATTGCACAGAATGGAAGGCCCCGCGCACCTGGTCATTTCCCTGCTGCGCTGAAGCCGTTTTTAGCCGTTTCCGCGCTCTCCTGCTTGGGTTTTCGGATTCAGCATAGCGAATTTGCCCGGACAAGCACAAAATCTCGAAATCGATTTGTCCGGATCAGGGCCCGGCACAGATCGTCTGGAAGCAGGCGGGACTTCGTTTTTGAAGAAAACAGCAAAGGGGATATCGTTTTTGACGAGTGGGAACTAGCACCAAGAATAAGCGCCATTCAGTCGAACACAAGCTTTTCGGACAGGTAGGATAGGATATAGGATATAGGATATCGTTCACACGATTGACATGCTCTGTCGTGTATGGCCAAAAATGCGCGCGATTTGAAAGCAAGGCTAAAATAAACAACTTGCTTGTTTACAGCACACACAGAATCATATGACACCAAAATTGAACTGTATACATAGAAAATTATTTGCGGAAAGAATATGTAAAAAGATTTGAAAACTTGAGTGAAGTAATACGTCTTCCAAAATTAGATCGTCTCCAGACGGCCACCAGACGATCTGAGATCGTCTGGAGCATATATTTTCGTCACTTCACAGAAGTTTCGGATCTTTTTAGCATGCAAAATCTATCCCCGAGCATGGAGACATTTTCATATCATTGCCTTTCTTTTGTTTTTTGCCTTCATTTTTTCTCGCTCTGTTAAACATCGCGCTCCAATGCCAAAGTTTTTGCATGCGTAGTATTCAGCTCCAATCTGGATTATCACTCTTATCTTACATCTTTTCTTCCAGACTAGCAAATCTTTCTTGTTTTCATCTTCTCCTAAGCAGTAGGTCAAAGGGGACTTCGTAAAGCTTCCGAAAGTCAGGGGAGACTTCGTTTTCAGAAGCCCTTGAAACCAACTCGTGCCGGACCCTGGTCAGGATACTGCCTTTAAGTTGTCAAACATCGTTGCTATCTTTTAGGAAACCGACCTTCTCTCAAATATGCTGGCAAATCAACGTGTTTCCGTTAGGAAGTTGGTAGTCATGGAAGAGATACGCATGGTATCTTCCGACAAGTTTTTCGTCAACATTGTCAGTTTCCTGTAATTATTCAAATATACATATCTCTCTTGTTTAAAAATATTTGTATCTCTGCTAGCGTCATGAAGATCGCATGATTGCAGAGTACATCAGTTTAAGTTGAGCAGTTTGTGATCTGCTCGCCGAACGATAATGAATCATGGCGAATGTTTGACGAGGTAAGCCTACTCCAGCTTTATCGTTGTTTTTCGTGTAATTTCACAACATTTGCGCTTTAGATGATTGGAAATGTTGTAGAACACTGCCAGTTGCTGGGCATTCTATCATAATACATTATTTCTGGCGAGTTGAACAAAGCCGCTTCAAAGAAGTAGGCATTCGTGCAAAAACGAATAGATCCAATTGTCCAACCTTATTTCATCTGGGCTCGATCGCGAGGCTTGGTTCCCCATATCAGGTGCTTTCCGGGAGCTTGCATCTTGCTCGAATTGTACGGACTATCAAGCTCGAAGGCTGAAGGTTTGTTATGGTATGACGAAGAAAATGGATGGAGAGGTACGGTAGTCTTACTATCTACATATTTCATTGCTGAAATCTGGAATATTGTAGGTGCCATTCGTCCACATGTTGAATGCAACGATATGCGCTGCTACGCGATCTGTGCGCTTTGCAGGAGAACTATCAGATTGATGATGATACTGTAATATAAAGCGCCACTTGTTGGGACTAAAGGAATGCTAACAAGTATTTTATGCAATTTTTAAAAAAGACCCTCAAAGCACGGATTGAAAAACAAACTTTTAAGAATGAGATCGATGCAATTTTCTTTGCGAACTTCAGATCCAAAACAAGTTGAATATTTGGGATTCATCGTAATAAGGGACAAACTTTGGAATTATAAGTCTGAGTGTTGGCTGGATATTTCCAACAAAAAATCAGTAGCTCACGAAGTTTCAAAAAGGAAACTGAGTGAAGAGGAATTGGGGAGGGGGGGGGGGGGTGGGAAGAAGGAAACCTTTTGGCACTTTTGTTAATAAAGCTTAGGAAATCACAAAGCAGAAAAAGTCCGGGTTCATTCTGCGGATCCACTGCCTTTAAGCATGGATTCCTTTACTTATAGTGACTCTACCATTGCACCAATAAGAATTCTCTTGCAGGCTCAACCACTTGTGCCCATGAATTCGAAAGCGCACTACGTATAATTTATAAGACAGCTCAAATATATTATTCGATAATTGCTTCCATCTGAGAAGAAGAGCTTAGAAAGGGTTGGGGATTTATGGTCATGCTCCCAACAAATTATAGTACAAATATATTTTTGTATTGATTGTCCAGCTTGTTTTACAAATTCATGAGGATCTTTTCCATAAAAACAACAGTAAATGTGCATATATATCTGCTGTGGAGAATATATGAGTGAGCAAGCTGGAGGTCCGTAGCATTTTGTCTTACTGAAAACGAACTACGAATTGGGAACTAGGATACAATATTTCATATCTGGCCTAAGAATTCTTTCGAAGTTTGGCTTCAATCTCACCTGCACGAAGATTAGTGCTGAGTTTGAATGCCATCTTGTATAGTTCGCTTTGCACTATCAAAAAAAAACTGTAGGACCTATTTAGAATATAAGAAGAATATGGTTTGCGCGGTGGTAAAGAATTAAAACAGTATTTATGGGACAGCCAAACATGTATAAATTGTGTAAAACTATGGATACTGAATTGAACGAGCTGCGAAAACATAGCGTAATTCGCTCCGAATCGGTTTACCCAGCTCCACCCGTAGGTTGATTTTTACGATTTGGCGGGCGGACTTTTGAGCTGCAACTTGGTAAACCGATATCTACTTTCATCCGCAACACTAGGTCATCAACCCTTTAGTCTCAACAAGTGGCACTTTATTGTTAGATCTATTTTGTTTTTCTTTCGACATCCCAACCTTCTCTGTCTCTAATATGGAGCATTCACTTTGGAGTGCGCCATAAGTTTTTCGTAAAAAGTTTGATATTTTAGCAAAATATCGCAACCTCCCATATTTCATTTCTCGAGTGCTTATATGTTTCCTCACCCAGAAACAGTTGCGCCAAACCAGATGGATTTATTCTGTCCTTATAATTTTTGTGCTAAATATCTCAGCAAAAAAGTTGACGTTTCACATATTTCTCCATGAAATGCTTGGTAAATGTTTTTATCTCAGGCATACTGTAGTAAATTTGTTTTTGAAAATTTCTCGCAAATACTTTTATTGTCTTCGAACAATCTCTGTCTATGAATTTCCTTCTTTAAATGAGCATTTCGTTTGAAATGCTTATGCCATTCAGAAAGAAATTTTCGTATATCTAAGCAGAATAGTTGCAGTCTTTCGAATTTCAAGTGCTCCACTTTTCACTATTGTCAACACTGATCTGCTCAGACGAACGCAACTTTACTCTGTGCTTCTTTCAGCATAAACTTAAGCGCAGTTTTGTCTTGCAATAGTTCACTGGACATTCTTCACGTATTATTTCCCTTAGAGAATGACTCAGTGCGAAAGATTAGTGTTCTTGCGAATTCTCAAATCAGATTTGAGCATTTTTGAAAATTCTCACCCATTCAAGACGTATTCACAAACACCATTCATGCTGCAAATGTCTACTATTAACACATTGACGACCATGCAAATTTCCAGTTGTCTGCCTTGTGGGACCAAGGTCTTTTACGGACCAGCCCACAATTTTCAACTATAATTACGCATTCTGCCATCTACAGCACACCTACAGTAAATCAGAAAGGCTGATAAAAAAGGTAGAGGTCATCCCTAGATTTGGTGCAAAAGAAAGCTCATGAAATAAGTCTATCCCAGTATAGCAGTCATTTTTACAAAATTTAAGCGTTGACGCACAACGTGTGTCAAGCGGTCCCACGCGGTAGTCATTGCTTGACACACCATATGTGTCAAGCGGTCGTCAGTGTGTTAAAAAGGCGTCTGTGCTAGTCCATCATAGTTTTCACTGTGCGCCTCAAATAATCTAAAAGAAAATCGTGCTCTTTAAATATCCTACATGCTTTTTGAACTGATTTTGTGAATATTTTTACTGTCTATGTATGAAAATAACAGTTTATCCAAAATCTCAGCTTTTTATGCGTCAGATGCTCCTCAATTCTGAATATTGCACAGCCTCAAAAGGACTTGCTTAGGTGAGCAGTTAAAAACATAAACACTTCCAAATAGGTCCTTCCAATAAGAATTTGAACCAGTAGCTTGCTAACAATAAGATAACCTGAAAACTGTGCGGGTTTTTGAGCACCTAGAGATTAATTGCAAAAAAACTTATTTGGTAGCTTAAATGTTGGATAAATATTTTCAGGAATGTCATTTTGAATTTTCTTGCTAATTTAATTTCGGGAGGAAGTAAGAGTAGTCTGAGTTAGGGCTTTTGGTGGCGTGGGAGTTCTAAGGCCTAAGGCATACCTCACGCGATTTGGCCAAATCGCCGCTTTCACGCGACTTTGCGATTTGCCACATTTCAATCCCTGATGTTTGAGAATAATCATCATGTATAGTATTTCTCACGATCATAAGAATAGTTTATACTACAACTGGAAGTTGTTTAAGGCTAGGCGGGAGAATGCAAACACATCTGATAAAGAGGTCTTTGTTTGTTTCCGTTTTTCAAAAACAATAGCTTCAAAAATCAACTAAGCGTGCAGAATAACTGCTGCATAAAAAATTAGGAATCACGAAAAGGTGAACTTTAGAGAGAAACATTGTTGAAAATTAGCCATTGGAAAGAGAAGTGATTGCTTTAGTTGCTGTGAGATAATTCATGTTGGCCCGGGGTTAGAAGCTCGATCCTTTCACGGACGTAGTGTAGATATTGAATACCATGAACGTTTTGTTTTCTTCACTAGTTTTTGATTTTCTATGCCGATACATTGTTAACGAGTGCCCCCGGTCGTAAACTCCATATTTTCTAAATCGAAGTCAAAAGAGCTTGTCTCACACGATTGTTTCTTGAATCCTTAATTAAGAAAACGCAGTGTTTCCATGATCGTAAATACTTTGTTATAACTGGATTTAATGACTGAAGGAGTCATCTCCTGTGAAAAGTCAAGACTCGTAATTATAATGATGCTGTAACGATATATCGCTTTTATGTTTAACGAACCACGGCAAATAAATGCAATTAAGCAAACTCATATGAGGTTGACACCAAAGTTCTTGCCAGCTTGGGCAAAATTCAGTGACCTCCCAAATTCTAAATCTACATAAAAGGTTGATGCAAGACTTCTTAAGTCGAACAAAATTCAATAACTTTTCATGCGCTAAACCTGAGTTCAGAATGAGTTTTCTAAAATTAGTAGAAGGTTCGCGCTCTATGACCGATGTTAAAGATTAACTTTCATGAGCGCCACTGAGAACAATGTCAAAATAGTATTTGAAAATTTGCGATTTTGAAATTGATGCTATAAAATGGCGGAGAGTCTTTAGCTAGCTTCTGAAAATCTGCGAAGATTTCAGCAGTGATCCACTTACTGTGGCAGGCTTCAGTCTCGCATGAGAGCACAAACAAGAAATTTGCCAAAATTGTTTTATAGGAAAGAAAAGAAAAAAGAAAAAAATGTTTCCCGCATCGCTGCACTTTTTCAGCAAAAACACTGTGTGACCCCAAAATAATGTGTTACAGTCTTCCAGATGAGCACTACTTTCAGGTCTCGAAATGCATTGTGATAAATTTGCAGCAGCAAGAGAATTTTTCTTTTGTAAAATTTCTGACTGTTTTTCTGTGTTTCATCTCCATGCAAGGTTGAAGCGTGCCACAGTAAGGTATCGACTACTGCGATGCAACAAATTTTCTAAGGCTATATACGCACTCTGTAAATGCCCTCCGCAATTTTATAGCATTAGAGTCAATATTGCAAGGTTAAGCCATTTCATAGGTGTTCGATTACCAGATGAAAGATAAGCTTTAGAATATTTCATGGGTCCTAAACCTTCAACTATTTTTACAAAACAAACATGAACTTAAGCTTGTTGTTTAGAAAGTAGTTGAATTTTGCTTAAATTACGCAAGGGCTTTTGCATCAGATAAGTTATTTTTCCCAACAAATAGTAGAAAATTTGCGCTTTATGAAGCATAACTTTTTATGAGCTAGCAACCGAGAACGAGCTTTCAAAAATGGCGTCTTGAATTTTCCGTTTTGAGTTTAGTGCCAGAAATGCGGAGTGCCGCTAGCTATCCCCAAAAAATCTGTAAAAATTTCACATGGCTGTAGTCCAAATGTCACTATGCCAAGCTTGATCTCGTATATGCCAGTTTACAGAAAAGTCTTATTGCTGCAATTTCTTCACAAAAACACAGTTCGAGACCTCAGTGACTTTTTAGCTGAAACACTGGGACTTTCTCACTGGCCTCAAACGACGTTTTCGTATAAAAATGCCAATGGAATTTCTTGTGTAAACCAAATTTTTCGCGAATTTGTTTTTGCATTTCTACGGAGTAAAGCTTGCCACAGTGACATATCAACTATGCGTTGTGAGAAATCTTTACAGACTTTTTCGGGCTAATTAGCTGCCTTCCGCAATTCTGACAACGAACTCAAAATTGCAGGATATCAGAGCCATCTCTGGAAGCTTCGTTCTCGCTGGGTAGCTCATAGAAATTTGCGCTTGAATATCCATCATAAAATGCAAACTTCTATTATTTCAACAAAACCAAATGATAAATTTATTAGAATCTAGAAGATTATTAGTTTTTGTACTTACGGAACAACTTTGCTACCAACCTATATTATGTTTGTTTCGCATTTTAACGATTCATCCACCTAGACTTCTAATTGATATCTTGGTAGCTGATCGGTTTGCGGAGCGCTTAATTTCGAGATGATAGATACCATTTTCAAACCTGATAGTGGAGATGCTAGGACTGAATGCACTGTGTTGTTTTTTAGTTACTTATGGCATACATTCTTTCTTCTCCAGTCACATGTCACATTTACGAAACCTTTTAACAATCAGGTGCTCAAATCTTTGCCAGTTGAGCTACCTAATGTGCGCAAAAGAATCCCAACCACATCATATACAGCGAGGATAATTGTTCATAACTTTTTTGTTTTAATGAATAACTTTAACTTTTTGGTTTTAATTTCCAATGACTTTTGCAGAATACGCAGAGTTTGGCATTCCCTAAATTCATGAAATGAAAACATCGCTTCGGCCAAAGTCTATTGCCGATGCACATTAATACAATATACAATATTGATATTGATACATATTACAAGCTGCACGGATCTATTATATGAATGTACAAACAGTAATGCATACTTGTTCATATATAAACGACGTGGAGTAGGATTTGAGAATAGTTCACCATAAATTGCTCGACTCTTCACCGTCTGGTTTGACTCAGAAGGGAATCGAGCACTCTTTCTGCTTATATATCAAGAACTCTAGTCAGTTATGCCTACTGGCTCAAATAGCTAACACAGGTGAAGTTTATTATTAGTAAATAGTAAGAGCTGTAACAGCTCCATAGTGCTATGCGAGGTACCTGGTTGTGTTTTGTGTTTATTGTCTGCTGTTTTCGCGAAGCAATCGGTGTCCATTTGACCTTTGTATCGAAGGGTGAAGCAATGGACGCTTTTTCGTACAAATTGATTTCAGTAGAAAGTTGATTTGGGGAACAACTAACAGGAGATCACCTAGATCTACCGGATCGATCGGACCCGCACTTGGCCGGCAACATGGTCAATCACATCTCTGCGCTTGGGTTAGATGCTGTACATGTCCTTCATTCATATCTGTCACTTCAATTCATTCTGTCATCCATCATTGCGTTGTCTTCTTCATTTCTTGCACATTTTATCACGATAACTGAGATAACCCTTCCTGACTCTTTGCTCACTTTTCTAACAAATAACAAGTCGTTATATGCTCGTCCCCCAACGGTAACGCTTATAACTTTTGCCGAGGAAGAGATCCTGGCTTATAAGCGCAGAAAAGTTATGAGATTTCTTGAGACTGCAGTAACATGTAGAATATTGACTTCTTTATCTTCAGATTCTAGGGATGCACTTCCATTGTAAAAGACGATCGATGAAACTCTTACGGTGCGTCGATTATTGAGTGCTAAATGTTCCACAGAAAAACCGATCGGGGTATGGAACAAAATTGCCAATGGAGCTGGAAGTAAAGTAGATTTGTGAGATCGAAGAGTAGTATAGACTAACACGTTATATTTTGGGTGAAGGATTCTACAGTATTGCAAAATTCCAGCACCTCAGTAATTCTGGAAATCCAGCGCGCGTCGCGAAAGCTCATCCGCGCCGTTGGGAAGTAAGGCAACAATTTTTAGTTTTATTTTGGAGTTCAAAATACTGTCTAGCTTGAGTGGATGCTTTAAGCAAGCATGCAGTGTAAGCAAATCGCACCTGTTCAGACTCCATGAATTTTTCGCTTTTTAGGGTTATTCTAATTTAAATTGAGGTAAAGCACCGCAGAGGAATAGTAATCAATAGTTTGTGGAAGCCAAGAAACAGGATATGCCAGATAGCCCTCTTGCGCAAAATTTCTCTCTCAACTTATGAAAAGAAAAAACATTAGCTATGCCATGGTTGCAACGATGCAAAGATTTTGACTATCCAAGAGTATAGTCTTCTTCTCTTTTCTTCTCACTATAGTTCGTGCTCCGGTAATCTACTGTAAAGCTAATTTTATATTCTCACCTGAAGATATAGCGAATCTTTCAAATCTAACATATAGGATTTTCAAGTGGGAACTGATAGAAGCCTTTACTTAAGAAATTATCTAGGCTGCATCAATGATTCATTCACGCTCAAGAAACTCGCCTATAAAGTCCCGCCTGTAGTAATCATAAGTTACCACTCATGATTACTACAGGCGGGCTCTGAAGGACGTGGATAAACGTTTGACCATGGGGTCACCTATGTTGGCGCCTAAACGGTGCCTTGAGTAAGTGCCCTCCAAGAGCAAGGAGTGCAGAACCTCCACTTTCAGTACCACTGCTGTTAGAGCGCTGTAATACATCTGGAGAAGGACTAGTACCATTTGCTAATATTCAGTAAGTAACTCGTTAGCTTTAGTTTTGTAACTATTCGCATCGTTGTAGGTGGGACACAAGATTTCTCATAATCTTTTGAGCTAAGTTCGCTTCTTCTCCAAGAAAAAGTTCTCACGAATAAGTTGGCTGAGGGTAGAGAAAAACGAAAAAATGGTGCTGATAATCCCCTCAGCTTTGTAAATATCAGCTCAAGGTTGCTGTGGATGAGACGGAAGGAATGAAATCTTGGTGTTCGTAGCTTAAACTCTAGATATAGGCCGAAAAGATACGATGACTCGTTTTGAAACCCTGCAAAATCACTCGTGTTAAGCTCAATTCTTTGTTAGAAAGTTTCGATTTGCGAAGGTTGAATTTAAGTAACATACGTACTCAGAATGGAATTTTAATACATACAAGCTAAGCTTACTTTTCCTCGCTGCATTCGAAAACTAAAAATGGCGAAGTTCCAGATATCTCTATACCCCAGTGACCTTATCTTGTTTGATTTACCATGGCCGACCGATATTGCAGATAATGTCACCAACACGACTCTATTGGAGATCAAGAAAGTTGGCGGGAACACGAGAGGTACGGATCGTTCTAGAATCCCGCCATGCTCATTCGTTTCCAGTCCTTCCCTCCACCGACCACTACAAGCTGCACTCTATTTGCCGCACCTGTAACTCAGCCTGCTTTCATCAGTCCACCAAACCAGTTTCTACTTCTACCTACAGGTTTGCAGGGCATTTTCCTTGTTTAGGTTATCTTAAATGTGCCCTTTCAGACGAGGCAGAAAGAAACAAGCAGTTGTGGCATAATTGCTCAGTCATCCACCTAAAGTGTACACCAATAATGAAAATGGGGATGGACGATGCTGAAGAAGCAACGGTACAGTTGCGAAGTCTCTGAAACATTTCGACGATCTCATTCTAGGTTCGTGAAGACGTGAGTAATCAAAAGAGAAGTTGGTCGCCCCGCCACGAAACTACCATCAGGACCCATTTTGCAGAGCGGCCGGAACTGAACTAGTATGTTCTGCTCTCATTCCTCCGAAATTCTATCTCGTTTTATGGACTAGTCGAAGTCCAATCAAAGTCTATGCGTGGCCTTTCGACATGAAGCAGATGTCCAACCAACGCAGCTTGGAAAGCTGCCAAGACTACTTTGCAAATCTGCAGAACGAATCTAGGGTGGGAAGAAATTGCTTCGATTTGCAGGAAACCCGCAAGACTGAGGTGGCCAGACCTTTAATGCCCATGTATTTCGGGCGGAAACCTAGAAACAGGGATGCTTATTGTAATTCTGATTCTTCTTCATTGTTATGTAATGCAAAACAGGATTCGTACATTTTATGACTATAGGTTACTCTAAATAGTGCAAGTTTTGTACTGTTTAGAGTGACCTATAATCATGTAAATTGTACAGATAGTAAAAATGTCCATAAGCTGGGAAGATAAATTCAAAATCAGAGTTCCAAGCTGTGCTGAACAATACCTGTCTTATGTCAAAAGGACACTGCCACTTCTTGTACTCAGATAGTTGGAACGTGCGGCGCACGCGCGTTTATGGTCAATGCGGCAAAGCGCGTGCCTTATTTGTGGGCGTGTCCGGCACTACGCCAAACGCGTGCCATCCTAGACATTTCGTGCGTGCGGCGCGCGTATTAATGGCCAACACCGCGACCCGCGCGCTACGTTTATGTTCGATCTCGCCACCCGCGCACCTAATTTTGTGGTACGCCGCGCGCGCGCCTTTATACTTTACCCGTGCGGCCCGCGCGCCTGCAATTATCACATGCTGTAAGCACAAGGGACACCCGCGCAGTGTACGACGCAGTGATCAGGCTGCCTCATCATTCAAGAGGTTAGATATTACGTCATGGTGTATGAATAGTCGCAGTGGAAGTTGTTTTTTGCTTCCAAGCGTTAGCCTTTGGTAGCATTGCAAATGGATGCTGGATCTGAATTCCTGGATTCAAATACGAATTCATATTCTTTGGCGTATGAAGAGTGGAATTCATTATCAAGACCTGTGTATACAGCGCAATGAAAAACTGGAAAAATGCAGCCATCCGCGGGCCAGCATCAGCGGCGCGGCATCCAATGTCCCGCCACCCGCGCACTGGGTGTTGCGCCACCGAGTGACTGCGCGCGCGCTGCCCGCTCCAACTGTCTGAGTACTTCTCTTGTGAAGGCTCCATAATTAACAAGCTCAGACACTTGGAGCGTGCAGCGCGCGTGCAATCACAGGGTGGCGCAACACCCAGTCCGCGGATGGCGGGACGTTGGATGCCGCGCCGCTGCTGCTGGCCCGCGGATGGCTGCCATTTTCCAGTTTCTCATTGCGCTATATGTCGCAGGTCTTGATAATCAACTCCACACCTCATACGCTAAAAATATGAGTTCGTATTCGAATCCAAAAATTCGGTTCCAGCGCCCATTCACAGTGCTACTGAACAACGTTAAAAAGCAAAAAACAACTTCCGTTTCTGCAACTACTCATACACTAAGATGTGACATCAAACCTCCTGGATGATGAGGCAGCCTGACCCTGCGTCGTACACTACGCGGGTATCCCTTACGCTTACAGCACGTATCATTGCAGGCGCGCGGGCCGCCGGGTAAAGTATAAAGGCACGCGCGCGGCGTGCTAAAAAAATTAGGCACGGGGGTCGCGAGATCGAACATAAACGTAGCGCGCGGGTCGCGGTGTTCGCCATTAGTGCGCGCGCCGCATGCACCAAATATTTAGGATGGCTCGCGTATGGCGTAATGCCGGACACGCCCACAAATAAGGCACGCGCTTTGCCGCACTGACCATAAACGCGCGTGCGCCGCACGCTCCAACTGTCTGAGAGGGAAAGACGAATCCCTCCCCCCCCCCTTTTTGGTACTTCAAGTAATCCATTGAGGTCGGGACGCTGTCGGAAACTTCCAATGGCTTTATAAAGCTATAGGCCCAAACGAAGGAAAAAATTGCGCCTACATCATGAAGAGCGCTAAAATGCAACTCAGTTATTTCGTTTCAGCACTGTTTTGTGCATGGGAATTGGGGACAAAAGCCAGGTCAAACTTGTTGGAATAATGTAGTGTAATCAGCTCGAATGCCGCCGCTCTAGTGTGTTGCTAAGTGTCTTGAAAGCGTTCTACCCACTTAGAGGACCGTAGTGGTTATGCAGTCAAATATTTCGGTGAAAGAAACCAAGTTTTTGGGATTTCAAATGACCAAGTCTTTCTAACATTTTCTTAGTGAACAAAAGCAACCTTCATCAATCAGACCTCAAGCTGAGTCATTTTTCAATCAAATGTCGAAATTTGTGAAGTACCTGAGGTTTGTTCGCAAGAATATTGAAGACGTTTTCATTAAGACTTCTGAAAGTTTTTTTGACTGGCACTTCTACGAAAATTCTCGTCAAAGATCTTGACGCGAAATGCAGCTTTTCTTCGGTCAAGCTTTTTTGAAAACTAAACGCTGCTCGTAGCCTAAATTATTCTGAAAGTTCTCAGGATAGAAGTCTTCTCCAACTGTGCAAACTTCTTTTTTATCGTACTACATTGCTTGGCAACTGAATAGCGGGTGCATAGTTACTTCAATCTGCAATGCACGGTTCCCTTGCACTACACATCCTTCGATGTTCCAATTATCAGTGAATCAACCACCCTGGCTTTTTACTGATCTCAAGTCAATGGGATACAGTCGAAAGCATCTGCAACGTAACGATCAGATATGCATACAAGGGCACATGGAAGTGAAGCCAATTTTGTGAAGACTGCTTATAATTCTTATAACCTGCGCACGCCATTCCAAAATGGCTGCCAGCGCGTAACTGTCTGCGCACACATTTGAAGGCAACGCCTACCCAAATTCTTCTAAAACATCCAGTTTCAGTTGCCTACCCCTTTTGTCGGTCCTGTTTTTGGATATGGAGTTCTAATAGCACGATAACAAAATCCTTGTTTGAACACAGGCGCTGACGAGTGCAAAGTAAGCATCAACGGATGCAAGTAGGACGTGCACTCAATTTGTTTATGGACACTGCCTTTGACCTAATATCAGTGGGCGGCACACCTCAAAGCTTTATTATTGTGAATCTCCAACTAGCGACATCTTCGAGCTATACTTCCGTAGGTATACTTTTTGAGATGTCGGGTGAGTGCATATGGGCTAATTTGCCAACAAGTCAAGGTTGGCAAATTGTATACAATGTTCTTGGGAGAACATTGTAAAGGATTTGCTGCAATGGTATATATTCAGTCGGATTAGCTTGGTGTTTCGACGCGCTGGTTTTTGAAAGCCCAGAGTAGGTGGAAGGGTTTACAGCAGGACACCACTAGGTATCCTCTTCAACCCTGTTTATTACTTGAAGACTTACACAAAGCAAAAGCGGAAATTGTTCTCAAAAAATCGTTGATGACTGGACAAGGAGAGAAGGCGTGAACTGCTCGATTCTCCCGAACTCGCTTGTTTGTTTGTTGTTCAGAACATTGAAGGGTAGTCGACTTTGGGAATTCGAGCGATCGGTCATAAACTCCAGCATTTTTTGGTATCAAAGCTAATGTCTCTGAACCGGTTAGAAGGAGATTTTTTTTCATATGTCACGATCCTCAGGCAAGAAAGCCACACTTTTTGGAACGACTCAATGTATATTTTAGGGGAAGACTGGAAAATATTTTCAAACCTAGATTTTTATGTCCCAATAGTCTGAATTAGTTCCAGAGCACGAGTACGTAATAAGCTGAAAACTGCAATGTTTCATTTGTTCTCATGTGAAACGTAACTGTTTACCATTTACACCGTTTTCGCAGCTTATTTCAGCACGCAGAAGTCCTTTCGTTATAGATGAATTTCGTTTTCATTAGTCATTTTGTCTCACAAGGAAATGGGTCAAATTCGAATAGTCTTTCCAAGCAAGCTGCATACCGTTAGCAGGATAGGCCATAATATGCTTTCTGCTGCTCAACGCCCTCGAAAAACATGTGCAATCTTTTCACGAGGAAATCGTGTACGTAAGGCAAAGGTGATTTACAAGTGCTCTGGTTTATACTTCGAGGGTTCCTATGAAGCAGAGTCCACGTTCTTCCAAATTGTCGTGTGCGAGCCTTGGATACGTAGCCGAGATGCAGGATATCGCACCTGTCATAAGGAGTGCCCTTCACTAGCTTTAGCTCCAGATACCTAATGACATTGCTGGCTGCGATGTTCATTTTAATCTGTGTAATCTTCGGTAGGCATTTGTACCAAATAAGATTGATATAGGTAGCCATTCTAACTTGATTTCCTATGACGAACCACAGAGGAGTCTTACAAGTTGTCTAACTCGATATTTCACTTATTGCTTGGCAGAAACAATATCGAGTAACTTGCGGTAATTTTTGCATCACTCTAGCCTGCTTTAGTAATGGTAAAGCAAGGCTTCACATTCGTTTTCATAACATAGGCAGCGAAAAATTGTGTCATTGTGAATACCGGCTCAAAGAAATTTTGAGACATGTTGAAGCAAATTTGCGTTCTTACTTCGGTAGCCTATGTTCTGAGATTAGCGCTTGCTGGAGTTGGATCTGGCATCAAGACTGCAAAAAAGGTTTTTTGAAGCCTATTTGCGATTTCCAACGAAACCTTACATATCCTATCCGTCAGAGATTTGGTTAGTGGCAATTAGGCAATCTTCTTGAAGCTCTTCATCTTGAGGGCGGATTATCGAAATGCGATAAATATAAAATATTAGCAATCTTCATTCTTCTTGCAAACTTGCAATGCGCAGGAGTATCCACTACATCGCAAAAGGAAGCATCTGTTGCTTATTGCTAGGTAATCTCTGAAGAGGCATAAAGGAACAAGCTCAGACTTTTGTTGAACACAATGCTTTTGCTCCATCATTTTGGTTTTTTCCTGAATCAGTCGTGTTCAGGGCTCCTCACGAGGAGGCTTTTGGAAAATTCAGAAAATGAAGTCCCACTTGACTTTCCCAAAATTTTACAAAGTCCCCTTTGACCCTAAACCATAATCCTAAGAAATCTCCAAGAAAAGGAAACGTCGACCAAAAAAAACGTCAAATTTTGTGTCTTTTCGGCCGCAAAAACGAAACCCCTTTGCTTTTTGTCTCAAAAACGATACCCAGTCTGCTTTACAAGCCACCTGTACCGAGCTCTGATCGTGTTGCAGTCATGTAGTTGTCAGCAGCTCGTTGAACATTTTTCGGGCATGTTCATGTACAAAAACTTCAAAAACTTAACGTATACATATGTGGACTAAATTTAGCAATATTTTTTCATCAGCACTATTAGCTGAATCTGTCCAGAAAAGGTACCATAATATGGACAAGGGTTTCCACTTAGCGGCAATTTGCATTTTTTTTACTACAACAGTGCAAACTTCGAGTTACAATGAGTTATTCTAACGCTAGCAACATGGTTATCGTTAGATGGATGGAGCTACAGAAATAGTAAAGGGATGGGCTCAAAGTTTACCGTATCTTGACAGGTTCAGAGTTCTCTCACCTTGGCTGGTCCCTTAGCGCCAGTTTACACCTCTCAAACGTCCATATGCTTCGTATGCACAATTCCTTTGCGTCATATTAAACGCAAAAAGTTTCCATTTTTGCAAAGAAGCACCACAAAACTGACTACGAAATTTTATCCAAAAAAAGCATTCGAGCTGAATACGCTAATATTGATGCAGTGACAATGTAAGGGACCCGTCATACTTTGCCGAAAAAAGCCCAAAAGAGCCCAAAAGCGCCAGGAAGAGCCGGAACGCCCCCTTCCGTTTTGACGCTAAGGCATGGTGTTGATTTCGCAACCGAGTCTTTTTGCATCATTTTCTGTCGTCTGGACATCAAAATAACGTCAGAATTCTACCATGACGTCGTTTCTGCGTTCTGGCTTTTTTGGGCTTTTTTCGACGAATTATGACGGGTCCATAAGTCTTATGAAATCTGTACTGAATCAAACCTTATTGCATCTGCAATCACTGTTTCATACGCGATGTATTCTTTCCTTATTGAAAGGGGACTTCGTTTTTGATATTTCCCTGGTGCGCCAGCTCGTGCCGAGCCCTGACTGAGAAATATAAAGATCATTGCTTGGAATAGTTATATGCTTACTAACTAAGTGTATAATCCTGACACGTAGTACGTACCAGAAAAAAAATTAGAAAAGCAGAAATTTGGACATTTCAATTTTTTACTTGCATAGAAACATAAAGATCTGAATTTGCACAATAAATTGATAAGTGATGTAAAACAGTTTAACTTTTTGTGGAGAATTCATATCTCAATGGAGTAGTGTGCCAGTGATAAAATCGCTTAGAAAGTTAGATGAAAGAACGAAACTATGTCACATTTACATATATAAAAGGCGAAACAAGGTTAAAAAAGACGAAGTTTCATCACTTTTGAAGGTATTGTGATTTTTACTTTTTCAAAGTGTTCGAGTAGATTCTCAAGCGCAGAAATTGTTACCAATCATGTGACTTCAGGAAACCCTTGACTAGTATGCTATTATGAAGAACGGCTAGACTATAGTTGACTTTAGGCAATCTCTACCATAGATATTCTACCTCAGTAAAAATCTAGAGCATTTCTAATCTCTCACGTTGAAATATTTTGAAAAGGTGACTACCACAAAACTTCACCGATTACTATCGCAAACTTTTGAGTTTTATACAGACACCCTGTCTGTATAAAACTCAAAATTTTGGCAAGTTTCTGGTGTTAAATACTTCCGATGCAAATTTTGATGCGTTTTTTGCTTTATTCTCACCAAGGCTAGCGATTATCTGACAAAAAAGTGTTTTTTTTTTTGCGATTTCTTTGCTTTATTAGGTTGGAACACAAATGCCGGTTTTCAACTTTTTTGTTCTGAAATAGCTAGTTACAAAGAAGAAACAGTTTTTACAGAATACACCATCTGGAACCTTTTTTCAGTTCTTATATGTGCTTTTGTTTTCGTAAAAATGAGTATGTTTTATATTACCGTACCTCTAGAAGCAAAAGGCAGTACCAAAATGTTTAAATAATCCTACACCATTTTTTGAATATAGAAAAGTTTTGCGACGTAAAAAAATGTTGAATGCAAGTTGATGCGAAACTTTTGATATATACAATGAATACTACACTTACAGCATACAATTAACATATTTTGCAGTAGAAAAAGTGAATGCTATTTCTTTTGCCGGTTGAAAAAAGTAGGATAAATGACTCAACCGCACATCTCTGCAAGCAAACAGTGTGGTAGCTTTTGATCTCTCTGAGGTGTCCTCTACTATTTTTTTCTGTTAATTTAGAGGTCTCTAGATCAAGCGAAACAATGATACAAAAAGTGCATTAGAATTCGCCACAAGTACTAGAGGCCACAATATTTCCAAACACCCCCTTCAAGTGAAATATGGAATGAAATAGGGAGTATCAGGGAATAAATAATATCAGGCTTTCAGATTTAATGAACATAGCTGAGAGTAAGCTTATGATTCTAACACACAGAATAAAAAAGAATCAGAAAACCGGACTTTTTGAACATGTTCACTTGCATAGAAAACATCAAGCATCTAGATTTTTTTGATAAGGCAGAATGTCAATAGTAGAAATTGCCTAGTAAGTCAACTCATAGGTTAGCCGTTCTTCTTCTAGCAGCGGGATAAGGGTTTTCTGAATTCAGGACGAATAGAGCTTCCTTGTGGTTGGTAACAAATTCTGCGGTTGAGAATCTACTCGAACACATTGAAGAAGCAAAAATATCCAAAATACCTTCGAAAGTAATGGATCTTTTTTCGATCTTGTTTCGCCTTTTATTAAGTTGGCCCGCGAACTCTGTCAACCATTCATGAAGTATTTGCGCGGTTTCAATTTTATCTAAAAGGCGGAATTATGCGCTTCACAATTGAGATTTTTTACATGCAAAAAGTGTAGAGATAGAAGCTGTAGAAAAAAATCCAATTTTTTTCTGTATAGGGCTCCAAAAATCTGAACTTACAGTAAGAATCGAAACGGGTTGGTATTACGAATGTTATGACTTGCTCTTTCATTCCGAGCAATAATTGTGACAACTGAGCTTTTCTTTGAGAAGTTGTGAATTTCCAGCTGGAAAACGTCATAGTTTCTCTGGCATTTGTCTCGAGAATTACAACTTTTTCTGTACAAACGCTCAATCGGCGCAAATTTTGCTCAGATAGAACAGGTCGTAAAACCTTATACCAACTTTTCCAATTTTTAGTGCAGGTTCCAAATTTTTGGCAACCCTACATAGGAAAATATTTTGAGTTATTGTTCTACAGCTTCTATCTCCGCAGTGCTTGCCTGTCAAAAGTCTTCCGAATGTTATGATGAAGCGCATGATTTTTTCTTTTGAAGTACGAATTGTGCAAATATTTGAAGGAAGTAAGAAATTACAAATCTTGCAGCTGAACTTCCGGGCTAACTCAATATTTTTGTAAAAATTCACTTACTTTCATTTCTTTATCTGATCTAACCAAGGGATTTTTACTGGCACACTACACCACTAAATTATGATGTTATCATTCATAAATTCATCGCGATGATCTGCTTTTCTGAATTCTTTTCTGGTACTATCTCTCAGGATTATACACCTACTCCAAGCATATAAATGCTTGAATCTGAATTTCTCGATCATTATATTTCCTAGTTCATTTCAACCACTATAATCAAATACATTACGGTGCTGCACTAGGAAGCTGCCTGGATACTCTCTACGGAGTCGGACAAGTGTACTCATTGTTTCGAAGTTGCTATCAGTATCTATTTTCAGGATGTTCCTCCAAGTCGTTCGCATTTTCCATGGCGACGTACGGGGATTCAAATGTGAGTTTAATAGTATTTGTGTTCATGTTTGTGAGATTATGTATCATTGTAGCACACATTTACTTCATAACGTTTATTAGGAAAATCATACATGTCATTATTGGGATTTCATAAATGAATGAATTCAGGTTCGATCGATTTTGGGCCGGATTGGGAGATGTCAGGTAAGTTCTGTGAGATAGAGGGCGTGAAAGGAAGTGTTGTGAGAGTGAGGAAGAGTAATGGTGTGAGAATGGTGAGTGTGCGGAAGGAGGGGTGTGTGAGAAAGGGAGGAGAAGGTGAGGGTAAGAAAGGGTATGATAGACGAGTGGATAGGATAACGTTGATTGCAGGAGGGCACTGGACATCTACAGGATTCAAAACAAATACACCCACCGTTTTGCTGCAGATCCCTACCTACTCCCTTCCTCTTCTTGCTCACCCTCCCCCTTCCTTACTCTCACATTCGCACCTCCCTCACTCTTCCTCTCTTTCACACCTCCACCTTTCCCCACCATCTCACCTTCACTCTACCTCACTCAAACTCCCTCCCAACCCCAACCCCCTTCTCCCCCTCTCACACACCCGAATACAACTTACCTCCATAGCGGGTCGACATCGCTTTTCCACTGCGCCATCGGAGTGCCTCCACGCCACCTACAAGATCTGATTACACTATTCATGCAATTTCCTCTAATTTTCTTGATAATGAAACATACTTTCCACCATAATGGAATAAAGTACCCACTACACCTGTGTTTCTCCACTTCGCATACAACACAAAAAATGCAACCACCTTCATCTCAGAGAATAGTAGCACCGGCAATAAACACTGCTTCATCACCCTTACTTGGTTTACCACGATTCATGTAGAGCGCGCGTTGTGTTAGGTTCTTCTTTCGGATTTGATTTGCTTTCGGATCTCCTTTCTAACTGGCAAGGGAAGGATGTTTAGTCGAAGTAGGTGTACACCATTTTGGAAGGGTAAAACGCTGATTCCGGCTGCCTTTCTTCTTGCGGAGCATTTCTGGGCGCAGAGTTATGAAGGTTTTTCGGAACAAAAAACTCAATGAGCAGCAATGGGAGAATCACTTGTTGAAATTTCAAGAGCTCAGCTGAGGCAACGACGAGTGAAGTTGTCCAAACTCAGAGCCCTATTGTGCCGTGACAATTATCACAGCTACATTTAAGCGTCAGAATTAATAGGTCGGTTTGACAGTTCTGTCGTTTCATTTTCAAAAGTGTAACTTCTTGACATCTCGACGAAATTGTTTAACTGTAATTTTAACAAGAAGAGGAAGCCTACTTTATAGTACTTCCTTAGCGTTCTTCCCGGAACTGGTTGCATAAAGTTAACTGAAGAAGATTTAAGCTTCGATCACTTCGAGTTAGGCCGCCAAAAATCTAAAACAAAAATTCGGAATGGTCGGTACATAAGTTTAACAACCGCCCATTCCAACTGTGAAATTTGCTGATCGGACGTTTCTATGAAATATGAAAAGTGATTTCTAAGTTTGCCATAGAAAACAACTAAATCAGTTAATTTGTCATTTTCTTAAAAAATCATAACTTTTCATGGAAACGTCTGATCAGCACAAACTTTTCACAGTTCGAAGGTTTAGGTCGTACAACTTATGTGCTGACGATTTTAGATTTTTCTAAAGCGTCTCAGATTTCTGGCGACACAACTTAAAATGATCAAAGCTTAAATGATCTTTTTCATCCTTTTTTAACTCTGCAACCAGTGTTCGGGACGAGTTCGCTATGGCTCAGTACAAAGTAGAAGGCTTCTCTTTTCTAACAAAATTAGACGGGACTAATTCCGTCCAGATAGCGAGAGGTTACGATTTTGAATTTGAAACGACAGAACTTTCGGTCCAGCCTAACTTTATCGGATGCTTTATCGTAGGTGAGCATATTTTTTGCTCTAAAAACCCAAATAACTCCGCGCCTCGCAGCTAAGGAAGGCAGATCTAGAGTCAGCCTTTTACGCCCTCCAAAATGGTGCACATCTCATATTGAACGGCCACTTACACCAAACATCCCCTTCTGGACAAAGTTTGTGCTGATCGAGATTTTCTATGAAAAGTTGTGATTCTCGAGGAAAACGCAAAATTCAGCAGAAAACGAAAAATTGATTTTTTGGCATTCTCGGAATACATAGCTTTTGATATGGAAGCTCGATCAGCTCAAGCTTTGCTCAGTTAGAAAGAAGAGATCAGAAAACTCATGTTATTGACTGTCCTGGAGTTTATCGCACAGCTTTTAGATATTCAGCAGGCCTCCTTCTTCCATCTAACTCTTTGATCTAACAAGGGAATAGTCAGAAGTCGAAGTGGCCAATCCATACAAGCTGCGTACCCTTAGAATGCAGCATAAAACGCTGACTCTAAATCTGTCTTCCTTATCTGCAGAGCGCTTTTGTGGACGAAATTACAAGCCGTTGAAGGCCATTATATTGCTAAGAAATTGTGCGTGTAAAGTGCAAACTTGGCCGTACAAAGCCATTCTCGGCTCAGTGTTGGACCAAAACATGCATGTAGGTCACTTCATATGACCCATACCTAAAGGTGAGCTGAAAGAGCAATAATGTGCCTAATTTCGCAGTTTTTGCATGCGATTATTTCGCAGTAAAGCTGCTCATAACTTCGCTTACAAAGGCGCTCTGCAGATATGGAAGACAGATTTGAAATCAGTATTCTATGCATCAAATGATATGCAGCTTGTATGGATTGGCCACTTCGATTCTGACCATTCCCTTGTAAGCTTATTGGAAAGCCCCCAAGCCATTAATGGAAAGTACATGATTTACGCTTTTTAATGTTAGGTTGGTACGATACTTCTTTGCACCATTTCCATATATTCATGACTCCTGATTTTCCCAATCATTTTGCTTGTTTTTATTTTTGTTTAAACCATACGATGCTCTTCGTAACTGTATATCAGCGGCTTTCTATTGAGCATACATTTCATAGAAGCTGTAGGAGAAAATTGCTCAAATTTAAATTTCCTAACTATTCGTAGAAAATCTGAAACCAAAAGGTCGAAGGACTAGGTTCATCATCTGCTCTTTTTAACTAGACAGAGTTCGTGCTGATTGAAGTCTTTATAAAAAGTTATAATTTTTGAGCAATCAATATAAAACAGCAAATTAAATTTTTGGCTTTTTTTCGAGAATCTTAAGTTTTTATGGAGACCTTCAGCACAAATTTTGCTCTTCGAAAAAGCAGGCAAAGTATAATATCGGCTGCCTCGAGTTTTATTGCAGATTTCAGATTTATTACTACCAAACTACATAGAAAAATCACATTTTGAGTAAATTTCTTTATCGCTTGTATCTATGCAATGTATGAAGGGCACGGTTCAGTTTTTCAAACAAAAATAGAAGCAAAAAAAGTTGGTTGGGAAATCGGTAATATGAATTTTTGGAAACGATGCGACAGAACTTCTGCGCCAACCGAATATAATCTAAGTCAGGCTCGGCACAGGAGCTGGCATCGGGGTATTTTCACAAAGTCCTCCTTGAGTTTCCCTAAGTTTAACGAAGTCCCCACTGACCGTAAACCCTAAACGTAAAAAACCCACAAAAAACGAAAAAACGAAACGTCCACTAAAGAAACGTCGCAACTTTTGTGCCTTTTCGGCCACAAAAACGATATTTCCTTTGCTTTTCGTCCCAAAAACGATATCCAGCTTGTCCCTTGCCAGCTGGTGCCAGACCCTATCTAAGTCGAGCGAACCCTTTGAGATAGAAAGAAGCTGCAATTAATAAAAAATGGTACGAACGAACTTTCAGTTCGACCTAATACATCCAAACTCGCTATCTCCGAAAGCCCTTAAGACACAACAGCATGTAAACCTCTCCCACACGGCTCTTTTCTGAGGCATGGTCAAGAAATGATGTAAGTCTCTATATTTGAATAGACATTGAGAACGATTGTCTGCCGAAAAACTTATAGTAGTCATACGAAGCTGAAAATTGCTTGAATAGCAAGAAAAACCCGGCCGTTTCCAAAAAGCGATCTACAACTCTAAATAGAACATTTTCTCTTGTCTCACAAGGGAAGGATACTTGGTGACCGCGGCCTTTTGCAGTGAGATGTGTACCACTAGATGGGCTTTGAATTGCTGATCACAAATCTGTATTCATTATCTGCTATGCGACTCTCTGAGCGTAGTTCTGGATTTTTTTGATTATTGAATTCACGAGATCTAGGTAGTCAGGACCGTCAGTATTAACGCTTTTTAGACGCTGATATACGGAGACAGTTACTCTGAGCTTAACGTTGAAGGCAGCGTCCAGGCAGATCTGGACCTATGGGGATTTTACATGGAAAGTACTTTTGGGGCCCTAACTAAGCCACTGCCGAAGCGGCAGCGCAGGTAGGCTCTAATAGTTGAGGTATTCCCCTCGAAACTGGACCCCGCGATCGTATTTGCATGAATTTATGGCAGTTTCGCGCCAGGATCCACGCTTTGCGCCATGAATCCATGCGAAATACAATCGCGGGGTCCAGTTTCGAGGGGAATATCTCAGCCGTTAGAGCACTACCTGAGCTGCCGGTTGGGCAGTGGCTCAGTTGAGGCCCCAAAATTACTATCCACGTAAGATCCCCATGTTCCATACCTGCCTGGACGCTGCCTTTAAGCTTAATCTCATTTAAACGCTCTTTTGTAACGCTAAGCGAACATTCTAACAACAATGGTGAATCTTGTAATCAAAACGGTGCAGATTTTAGTGGCAAGTATTCATAAACTTTTCGGAAGAGCACACAGCAGATACCGAGAGCAGATTTGAACTCAGCGCTTCAAAATGCATTCAATTGGTATACGTTTCATTTTACAAGGCCAAGGTCACCAAGTATACTTCCCCTGCCACATGTCGAAACAACACAAACGAGTTTGAGCAAGTTACTATGCTCTACTTTGAATCATGCGCTTCCTTTTTCAAGAAAAGCTGACTCCCCATCCTACACAGTCAGGTAAAGACGAGAAATAGTGTTCGAGCCGCAGCTACATTTTACTCAAATCGACTCTTTCATTTCTCGTCTCACAAAATTGATTAGGAACGTGAGATAACTGAATTTGATTCATCGTGACTAGGTGCGGCTTAGTGGTATCTTCCCAATTTATCTAAGTGTTGTGAATGATGAGAGGTTAGTATCTCTCGAAAAAAAATGAATAATTTATAGTAGAGTGGAGCAGTTTCCTTAAAACTTTTCCGCTGTTTTCTACTGAAAAAAACTGCATTGTAAGCAGTTTTCTGATATATACTGTCAGCTTCGTACGACTATTTTTCTGCTTTTTTGGCAAAAAATCAAATAAAAGACTGGAGGACTGTGGAGCTTATCAGCCTTCTATGCTTCAAAACAGTTGCGCAGACGGACAGCACTGCGACTGTATCTGCACAACATAATCGAGAGCGCGCTGAGGAGAAGATTGAGCAATGTCCAGAAGAACATAAAAGGAAGTTGGAGAAATAATCCGGTGGAAACAAACTTTCATCATCTTACTTTGCTATTGACTGGGAAGATGTATAAAGCAGTTGAAGTTGCCAATTTGAGGCATAGCAGTCAGGCATACGCAAAACGTGTTTCGAAAGTTCTGTTATCAAAGACCAAGTCTGATTCAATATCTTTTTGGAAGCGATTTTTTCGAATGCGATAGCTTGTGTTATCATCTAGGAATCTCAACTTTATTCAAACTCAGATTGTACTGCAGCTACAACGAGAAAGACGGCGAAAATTGAAACATCTCCTTTTAGGAACCTTTACTTTAAAGAGCCATAATTTGACTCGGAATGTAGTGGAATCACACGAGCTCTGCTCACTGTGTAGCTAATAGTCGGCTGAGCTGTACTGCTAACTTTGAAGTTGACTAAAAAGTTTTTGAAGAAAATTCGCGGACCCAATTTCGCTCTTTCTGAGGTAGCAAAAGTGCAATTTTCGATTTTGTTCGCCATTGACAAACGAGAAAATTTTTTTCTAAGTATCACAATATAGAGCGGGAGTTTCACGACTGCATCGTGCTTAATTTCCTATGCGAGTTATTAGACCACAACAACGGGTCATGTCTATGCAAAATTTATTGAGAAAAAGTTTCAAAAAATCATAACTCGATAAGTTTCGTAGCATAAGTCCTCAGCAAAGATTATATTTGCTGCAAAAAATTTTCCTTCCTGGCTGTAGACCTAACAGCAATAGAGCGAAAAGGAACCTTTGAACCAAACCATTACTAATACCAAATTTTGTGTAACAAAAACATAATGCGGCTCCTTGTTATTGTCTTTCGAAGAAACCCTTTGCAGCCTGCAAACACGAGGTATCTTTTTCAAGTAATGTGTTGTCCAGTAAATGAAAACATCTAAACACGAAAAGGTTTTGCTACTTCTTTGCGTTTTCCACAAAAAATTCTGTTTGTTTCCTGCGGATTTTTTCAACTTCTCTTGCCAAGTCAGTTCTCTGTAACGCTGCCAGCACAAAATAATCGCGCTCTTTAATGCATTGAGTGGCTCGGTAGCTCTCTTGTAATTACTAGCATTTCTGGACCATTTGAATATGCCGTGTATAGTGTGCTTGCAGCATTCAATGATGTTAAAAACTTTGAACTTGAAGAAGTGCTGGATGGACGGGATCAAAGACTTGCACACCTTGAGAGCGATGGGTGAAGAACTCCGAATAGGTGGGAACACACCACCTATTTTGGCGCGATTGGCTGTTTCGCCTCGACAGCCAATGCTCCTGGAAGGGCACGAATCTTTGATCCCGCCTCTGAGCAGTGCGCGGCCTAGAAGGCGATAAATACAATTTCTCATCATTTTTGGAAGGTTACAAGCACGATATTGGACTTGGACATCCAAAAAAGGTTGAAAAAATTAGAGTTGCAAATCTGCCGGGCCACTATCTCTATCGATACAAGCAGTCAGGCCTTCGTTTCCTTCTACCCATTCTCCTTTTAGAATGGAGCCTTGCGAGGAAGAGCTTCCAATGCTTCCTACGAAGCTAGCGGAGATATTCAAGCGTGAATGCACCTTGCAAACAGTGCGCTACTCGCGCTGATTAGTTTCTAGTTCACTGTAATCCCTAATAATAGATTTTGAGGGAATAATACACTGTTTTTGCCGGCGCCTCTTTTTTGATTTCGAGGTGTGGCTGCCATTTATCTGTATTTTCAGCGAAATGGATGAACACAAATATAACTTAGACTTCATCTCGCCATTATGGTCAGATAGGATATGTAGGGAAAGAAAGAAAGCGAAAGCGAAAGCGTAATATGAAAGCGTTATTCAAAAAATTTTCGTAATCTGCTTGAATAATAGCGTTCCCGATTTTCCCATCCCTCTGTTCGAGAGCACCCAAGGGACTTTGGACAGTCTTACGCCCCTAATCGCTTTATTCGCGGTTCCCAAGCTTTACATAGAATTGAAGTCCGAATTTGCGTTCTTAAACTCAAAATAAGATTTTCAGGACCTCTCGTAGAAAGTGTTTCTTGCAGAAACAATTAACATTGAAGCATTAATTATTCACAACATCAATTATTCACAACAGTAGAATAGATCTAATATGTCAGATGTCAGAAGTATAGCAAATCAAAAGTTTTATCAAATTTTGCTTATAGAATATTTCTTCGATCAAAACACTTTGACAAGTTTGGGAGACATGTAAATTTACATACGATTGCATTCGATTGTAAATTTTTGTATCCAATCGTATGTTTTTAATTGCCAATGAATGCATTCTACAAACTCTTGATAATTTCTGCCACTAACAAAACTGCAAACTTTTAAAGCAATGGATGCCAGAATGTTGACGGTTCTCAAGAACCTTACACGATGCATTTTGACTCCGCGAAATAAATCATGGAAATGGAGCTTACACATGAGGGAGAGTGTTCCGAGCACAGTTTCAGTAAACAGCACTACGAAACTTGTTAGAATGTTTTGATCCCGCGAAAAAAATGCATCTTGTAGTATTCTTTTAAGAAGAGTGATTTCAACCTAAGTTTTTGATTACATGGTAATTGAGTGGTGCTTTCCCAACGTTACAATTTTTTTGTTCCTGCAATGTAATGCAATTTTCAGAGTTCTGACCAACATTTTCAATTCGTTTTTTTGCTATAGTCTCGTGGTTGGCTTAAAATCAGGAACCAAGGATAAGTCCAGTCTTCCTCTAAAATATTCCACTTTTCAGAATGGTTCCGATTTTTATGAGAAACATCATAGATTCATTTTTGGAAAATAAAAAACAGTATAGCATCATGAAGCATATAACTTCTGAACAGACAAGTTGTCATCTCAATTTTCTGTTTAGGCAAGTCAAAAATGCTGAAAATGTCAAATTTTACGCGCGCAATCGAGAGCTTGTCAACGTGTCGTGTAGAATTTTGTTTAGTATACCAAGGGAAAATCACAAGATAAACAATTTAATGAGTGTTATCGCGTTTTTATTCCCTACCTTAAATAGGCTGTGCTATTAGATCTTACCCGAAAATTTTCTGGCTACACGTTTCGGTAATGCGAAGTTGAAATCTCTTTGTGCTCTCAAAATTATCGCCACGCTCGAAGAGTTTATGATGCAAAGCGCATGCATCGGTACCAATTATATAACGAAAGCAGCGATTAAGAGCGCAAAACTTTATATTGCTTCCCATCCCAACTCGGAAACAGTATAATATTTGATTTAATTGGTTTTGTTGTGGTTCAACTTCTAGATAAATGCAACTCACGTGTTATCCGCTATCGCCGTTCTGAGCACGACGTCCAGAGGTGACTGAGCTACTGCGTTGCGTTAGGGACCTTCTAATGTGGTAGTCTTGGTAGGTCTTTCAGTAAATAATAATTACCATGCAGTTTGGACTTTGCCACTGAGTTGGTCTCAAAAGGGTCTAGCCCCATCTTTCCTCAGGTGTTCTTCTATGGTCGCGATGACTTCAATACAAATGAGAAAGGTGGACCTAAAATATTGCCTTACTGCCTTTATCTGTGATGTTGTGAAAGTAAAGTAACATACCTTTGGCTCCACATTAGTTAGAGACGTGCATAACTCCATCGTCATTGAAAGAAAGGCGGAATGTAATGAGCAGGTGCTCTTGTGTCACTGTTGTTGGGAAGCTGAACCAAAACTGACGTTCTCGAACAGTCTTCGGTACTTTTCCCGCTCGAATCCTTAATCTCCAATGCACAGCGGGTCTTTCGGTCAGAGCCATCTGAAACAGCATCGATTCAGTGGAAAAAACCTTCCGGACTGTCATAATGTGGGAATTTAGAAATAGATAATGAAATGACTTCAAAGCGACCACAATGCTACCTAGGAGCACCCTTAGCCACAGATTTTCTTGAAGACGCATCAATAGGATTGAGATTCTGAAGTAGTACGGGTTTCACCTTGTCATTATGAACCCAAATTCTTCATAACACTATTTCACTATACAAATCTGCGCATTGACAATAGCCTTGAGAATTGCTCTCTCTCCAATTCAGTTTAGTGTGAATGGTTTTCTTCTACATTTTAGTGTGATAAAATCACCATCTTACACAAATGGGCATTGTGAATGCATCAATAGCGAAGGAAAAGTTCAATAAGAGTAAAGGAGGATAAAAGCAAAGACGTAATGCGTGAGCAGACGAAGACCCAAGACTTTGGTGCCTTATAGAAACAAGGTACAAAGTTCATGAGATACGCTTTGATTGATTTTGATCGCCCTAGATAAGGCAGAAAATAGAAAGTAAAGTTTCTCTGCTGAAACACTTACTCTAGGGTGGCTTCTGGTAAGTGCGACGCTAAAGAAATATCTTGTGCCATTCTAAATGAAGAAAAAGGAGAAAGAGATGAGGAACAGAAGATGGGGTGCATAGGGACTTGCAGAAGGGCCTATTCCAGAGCAATCTAATGGAGAATGTCCATGTTGCCTTAAACTTTGGACTTTGATTTCTCGGATGTCGAGCCGCGTCCAAGAGTATGCACACTGTTACATATCTTGTTCTTGGGAATTTTAACCGAGCAACATCTTTGCGCAAATGCAAAATCGAATATATGATAGAGCAAGCAACTTGTTTCGCTCATTAGTGATTGGATTGATTTTCCCAATCCACAGAAACTGATTTTATGTACAGATTTTCTTTGAGGAAGTTTAAGTTTTTCAAACTTTTGAAGGGTGTGGCTATGCAATCATTTAGAACATTCATTCATGTGATCGAATATATGGATAGACACAAATATATAGATATAATATATAGAATCAAATATGATAGACACGAATAGAGAGGGTACGGGAAATTTTTCAAGCGAGAGGAGGGGGGGGGGGGGGGGAGAAGGAGAACAGAGCGGCACAAAATATTTTGCAAATGAAGAGGCGCGTTGTTAGCCAAGCCTCCGGAAATTGATGGAGCTCCAAAAAGGGGCGTTCGTCGTATTGTTTCATTACAAAGCTAGTTTGAAATCAAAGATTTGAAAATTATTTTAATTATCTTCAAAGATAGGTAACTTAGGTCATTCGGAAAGTTTTTTCGTTTTCGCACCTTCAAACTCAAACGAGCACAATTTTTTCCAGATTCAACCTTTTTCCATCAAAAAAATTGCATTGTGTTCAGCAAATTCTTATATATAAAGCTGAATGTCTGTTTGTATGTCTGCTGTATGTATGTATGTACGTATGTTCCGAATAGAAAATTCCATTTCTGAACCGATCCGGACCAAACTTGGCACACATACACTTCGGGCCACGGCGGGTGTCATAGGCTACTTTTCGTCATCGATCGGTATCGATTTTATCGATTTTTATCGATTTTTTTGCTGAGTTCACCTACGGGGCTGGGAGTTGGCACAGGGGGGTAATCGAGCATGGGGATTCCGAATACAATATTGGTTTTCAGGATTATCGATTACTTTTATCGATTTTATCGATTTTTTTGCAAAGTTTGAGCTACGGGGCTGGGAGTTGGCACAGGGGGGTAATCGAGCATGGGGATTCCGAATACAATATTGGTTTTCAGGATTATCGATTACTTTTATCGATTTTATCAATTTTTTTGCAAAGTTTGAGCTACGGGGCTGGGAGTTCGCACAGGGGGGTAATCGAGCATGGGGATTCCGAATACAATATTGGTTTTCGGGATTATCGATTACTTTTATCGATTTTATCGATTTTTTGCAAAGTTTGAGCTAGGGGGCTGGGAGTTGGCGCAGGGGGGTAATCGAGCATGCTGATCATCCCCAAGGGGGGTGATCAGCATGCTCGATTACACCCCTGTGCCAAATTCCAGTCCCCTAGCTCAGATTTTCAAAAATCGATAAAATCGATAAAAGTAATGGACGATCCTGAAAACTAATATTGTATTCGTAATCTGCATGCTCGATTACCCCCCTGTGCAAACTCCCAGCCCCGCAGGTCAAACTTTACAAAAAATCGATAAAATCGATAAAAGTAATGGACGATCCTGAAAACTAATATTGTGTTCGTAATCAGCATGCTCGATTATCCCCCTGTGCAAAATCCCAGCCTCGCATGTCAAAATTTACAAAAAATCGATAAAATCAATAAAAGTAACCGATAATTCTGAAAACTAATATAGTATTCGGAATCCCCATGCTCACTTCCCCCCCCCCCTGTGCCAACTCCTAGCCCTGTAGGTGAACTCTGCGAAAAAATCGATAAAAATCGGTAAAATCG